CAACAGTAAAACGTCGAGCCTTCACCGTCTTAGATGGTCGAATAGTAATAAGCAATACGCTTCCTTCTTGCTTTATATCAGTTAAGCGTAAATCGCACAATTCGCATCTTCTGCAAGAACCAAAGATACCGCAAATGGCTACTACCTTCAAAAATAAATATGTAATGTCCGGTGCCTCTGTAAAAAATTTTCGCAAGTGTTCTTCCTGGAATACATATGCCTTCTTGGGTACATCATTTTTGCTGATTGCCTTCATGAATGCATGCACTTTAACAAATGATTTTAAATCAACGCCCTTATTTATTCTTAACATGCACTGTAATTTTGAATGGATAGCCCACATAGTCGATGCTTTATACTGCTCCGACATTTTCTGCAGATAAGCAAGCACTACTTGTTCATTTATATGTGTTACCTTCTGCTCTTCAATCCATTGCACAAACTTGTCGTACTCTCGTTTATATGCATCTTCTGATTTTTGCGGTATCAACCGCGATTCTGCTTTTCTACTTAAGCAGTCAATGTTGGAATTCATTTTTAAGCATTTATAAGTACATATAACTGTGATGACAACAATAAAGTAGGATGTGACAGATTTTGTAGTGAATATTAAGAGGTCTCCACTGGTAAAAACAAGCGTACCTACCAACTGACGCTTCCTGTTAGTTTTTTTGTACGTATAATGCCAGTTCAGTGACATCTTAGATTTTGTAATGTGAATATATAAATATATAACTTTTTGCTGTGTTGTACCGCGGGTTATTTTCTATCCACCCACTTCGTCATGAACATTGGTCACCACAGTGAAATTGGCGACGAGAGAAGTAAAAAGAGCAGACGAATTGAATAGGTCCACATTGCCGTTAGAATTATAACAAAATGGCCGCAATTTCACCAGAACAACTAGCGCAAATTACTGCCGCCGTTGCTGCTGCATTTCTACAAATTGACCAGACTAGAGCTACGCCGTTAACAACACCGTCAGTAAATCCAAACATCCCCCCATTCGAGCAGTATGACGCCAAGAAGGAAGACTTCAAGTTATACAGGGAACGATTCGAAAATTACTTGCGCATGAAGGAAGTGTTTGATAACAAGACCAAGTCCGCTTGCCTACTTCTAGGGTCTATTGGAGCGACACACTACCAGACAATAAATGCCTTAGTAGCGCCACAAAAGCCATCCGAACTATCATACGATGAGCTGATTACCCATTTAGAGAAACATTTGTCACCTGAGCGGAACATGCTCGTGGCCCAACACTATTTTTTATCAACTTACCAGTCTGGAAAACAGAGCATCAGTGAATACGTTACTGAACTGAAGAAAAATTTAGGGGCATGCAACTTCCTGGCAAAGTGTCAATGTACTCAAGAGGTTTCAACAGCGGAACAATTTTTAAGAGCGCAGTTTATTCGAGGGTTGAAAGATACCTGGATCACCGAGCAGTTACTCCAGTCAAACCTCACAGAATTTAACGAAATCGTGAAAAAGGCAATAGCTTTAGAAGCAGCTCGAACTGATAGTCAAAATTTAGCGAAAACTTCAACTCCATCAACAAATACATCAATAAATAGTGTGATTCCGAGCAGAGAAGGACAATTTACGAGACGTCAGAGCCAAAATTCTCAGCACAATCGAAAGCCGGATCATAATCGTCATAGGTCATCATCACGCAACTATCGACAACAGTCACACCAAAATCGTAATTCTTCACAAGGCCGGGTAAACTACCGTGAGTTAGGAATTGACAATATGTGCTTATTCTGTGGTCGTGACAACCATACGTCAAAAGACTGTCGTGTACAACAAACAAACTTAAAGTGTACCGGTTGTGGCAAACAAGGACATGTTGCGAATGTTTGCATTTCAACGTTAATCAAATCAAAACGTGATAGTAGTGCACATAATACTACCTACAACATTGATAATTTCAGTGTGAATCGTATTGAAGATGTATATTCATCCGAAGGAGACGATACCCGTAAATACTACACATTCATCAATGTCGAAGGACAAGCAATTCAATTTGAGGTCGACTCCGGAGCGGGATTCACGTTACTTCCAAAAGACCTTTTCGATAAACTTAACTGCAAGCAAAAACTGAAACCGTCTAACCTAACATTTCGTACTTACACACGTCAAACCTTTCAACCACATGGGAAAGTACAAGTAATGGTTCAATACCACAATTATCAAAATCCCACATTAGAGGATCTATACGTAGTGCCTGAGGGGTATGATCCATTAGTAGGTCGCGAATGGATTCGCCATCTAAACATTCAATTACAGGAAATCGATAAACATACCAGTAACAAATTAACACAAATCCATAGTGATTACATAAATTCAATTGAGTCGGTGCGTGAACAATTTCCCAATATCTTCGAACAAAAAGTGGGATGCGTTCCGAATGTAGTGATTAAGTTAGCGCTTCGCGATAATGTCAAACCTGTGTACACACGAGAACGGAGTGTTGCATATGCGTTACGCGATAAAGTTAGTCACGAATTAGAAATGTTAGAATCTGCCGGAATTATAAGTAAATGTGATGTAAGTGATTGGGGTTCACCACTTGTGGTGGTACAAAAACCACAAGGAGGTGTGCGGCTTTGTGTCGATTATAAAGTTGCCGTAAATGACAGTTTAGTGAACGTGAACTACCCCATTAAGCGCGTAGACGAAGTCCTTAACAGTTGCGGGATTCGTCCTACTTCTGGGCGTCGATTCCCGAAGATGTGCTTTGTTCACATCGACTGACCTTGATGTGAACGTGAATGTCACTGCATTCTCGAACCTACCACATCGAGCGAAAAGTTGATCGAACGCAACGACTGGTCTAGACCACTCGTTGCGTGAAAGTCATGCGCAGTTCCAGCTACAGGACGGATCTTGCAGCTGTTTTGCTATAGAGGTTATTCAGTGCCCTAACCTATAAATTCACATATTTTCTGTGAAATAAAACATGGAATTGTTCGAGGATTTTCTGGTTATTAATAACAGTATCCTTAATGCAAAAACGAAACAAAATACAAAACTGACAAATGACAGTTCAATTCTTGTCTGTGATTGGTTAGCGCATACAGTTTGTTCGCGATTCGGGAATGCAGCTAAACTTGAACTTATCCCTATCGTATACGATCATGACGTCATGGCAGCCGGTCACATCACATGCACATCACGGAGCATATCGACTAACTTCGGGAATCGATACCCAGTAGACTCGACCTTTATAAGGCATATTTACATTTACGTGTAGACAAAGACAGCAGTGTAATACAAACTATGTCTACCCACCAGGGGACATATCATGTAAATCGTTTGAGTTTCGGAATTAAAACGGCTCCAGCTAAGTTTAACCGAGTCATTGATCAGATTCTACGGGACTGTCCAAAAACAACCTCATATTTTGACGACATAATTGTGCATGGTAACTGTTACAAAGAATGCTACAGCAATTTAATTAAATGCTTAACCAAATTGCAAGAAAACGATCTTCACCTGAACGAGGCAAAGTGCAGTTTTTTTCAGAACGAAATCGAGTATCTAGGATACATCATAAGAAAAAACACCATTGCAAAGTCACCCGATAAGGTAAAAGCCATATTGAACATGCCTAATCCGAAAAGTGTTGCAGATGTCCGGCGATTTCTCGGCATGATAACTTATTACGCAAGATTACTCCCAAATCTATCGAGCATGACTGCACCTTTACGAAAATTATTACAACACGATAATCAGTTCTTGTGGAATCAAGAGTGCAACCAAGCATTCAGCAATTTGAAAATGGAAATTGCCAGTGACCGAGTTGTTGTACCGTATGACCCCGAGCAACCAGTTTTATTAACCACCGATGCCAGTCCATATGGAATTGCAGCTGTGTTATCCCATTCTACAGCCAACGATGAACGTCCAATTGCATTTGCGTCCCGATCCTTAACCAGGGCCGAGCAGAATTATTCCCAGCTCGATCGAGAAGCATTGGCGATCGTTTATGGTGTTAGTCATTTTCAACAGTATTTAATTGGAAAAAGCTTTACACTGAGCACCGACAATCAACCTTTAGTGCGGATTTTTAACTCGAAATCAAAAGCATCGAAAACCACATCGTCACGCCTCATTCGCTACGCTTCATTTTTATCAACGTTTGATTATAAAGTACAGTTTAAGAAAGGCATCGATAACACCAACGCTGATTGTTTATCACGAGCACCACTACATGATGACAAAGGAAAAATTGAAACAGCATTTGACGAAGAACTCGATCAAGTTAACCACGAACAGGTATTCAATATCTCGACAGACCAAATAGGATATGAGCGTATAAAGTACGAGACTGGAAGGGATTCCGAAATGTGCAAAATTATCGAACAAATGAAGACTCAACGCATCGAATCTGAATTCCTTTTAAACGACGGAGTCTTATACAGGAGCCATAGGATTGTCATACCGAAGACAATGCAAGCTGATATTTTAAACGACTTACACTCAACACACCTAGGGAGCACCAAAATGAAACAGCTGGCACGACGCTATTGTTATTGGCAAAACATCGACAAAGAAATTGAAAACATCGTTCGAGCATGTGAAGAATGCAAGAAAAGGCTCCATTCACCACCCAAAGCTGAAGTCCATCGCTGGGAACTACCTCAAGAGAATTCCCACATAGCACATGTACATGTATTGCATATGAAAAGAATATACATTTATGAATATACAAATATGCACAGCATATGCATTTTTTAATGAAGAATGATATATGTATATCCATAGCATTAGCAAATGTCCTCTAAATGGATGTACTTTACATATTCTTTCCATGTGTAAAAGAATATACACTGAAAATGAATTACATATGTGGAGTATAACCAGTGCATATATCAGTAATTTGCTACACAGTGTATATGCATATGATTTACTTCTGTGTAGCACATCCTAAATACATGAAAATAACATGCTACACATTTGCTTGCGGAGATATCCAGAATAAGAATAGTACATACAGCAAATGCAATTTATTACCACATTACTTAAATTGTACATGCCTTAAACTATTGTATAATATGACTATTTTCATTATTGTATCAGTTGTTTCAAACTTCATCATTTTCAGGACCCCTTAAAAATGGATATTTAGTACTTAACTTAGTAAATAAAATATTCTTACGATTTTTTAGATTGAATTCTTCTTTTTTGATTTGTGTGTCTCTCTTTGGCCTTCGCCAACCAGTCTTTTATTTTGGGAATTATTTCTGCTTCGGTGGAATTACTTGTTTTTTTATTTAAACGAATAGCTCCTAAAAGGGATAAGGAATCATATTGCACAACGATCAACTTTCATACTTACGAACAATTGCTTTATAAATGAATAAATTTTTGAACACTTCTTTTCCTTTAGCCCCTTCGAAACTAAAATTTTGGCCAATTTCGTTGGAAAATAGCCGATACATAATTTTTTTTGTCATTGTTTTGGCCTCGTTACCACCTATTAAGCTCAATTCAGTTGCCTGTAACATATTAATTATGTACTACTTTATTTATACATACAAGCAACTTACAAATAACTGCATAGTTTCTTCCGAAGATAAAGCCTTTTCGATGGTTTGTAAATCCTTGTCAAAGGAAATAGGAATAAGTCCCATTATATTTCTCAAAGCATCAACTTCCTCCACGGATTTTGTTTGGTTGCCGCCTGCAATTGTTAGCTGTTCAACTTTTTCAGTTAATGATGACAACATATTTTTGATTGAAAATAATTCATTGATAACCAACTTCTGGAAACCTAACAATGCTTGTTTAGTAAACAAAAAATTCACTGAAAGTTAAGTAATTACGTTTGTCACTTCCTGTGAAACCTTCATGCGAAATATCTACCATAGATGAATCTAAAACATTGGGTGGTCATACCTATATACCTGCACAATCCACCTTACAATACCTTCTTTTTTTTTATTTGTGGCACGTCTTCCACTACTTGGTGATCCTTGCAATGATTCACGGTCACGAGATAGTGAAATTTTGTCTTGCATTCGGTCAAGTGAAGTACAAGAAAGATCAACCACAGAGCGACCTAAAATACAATAATAATTAGTGCATGTTTCAATATTTCTTAAGAAAATACCTTTTTTCTGGTTCACATCAAAAGCACATCCATCATAATCTGTTGATTTTTGTAATGATACACAACTTGGTTTATAACTTTTACCTACAAATTTTAAATTACCTCTGTGGACGGGTATATGAAAGCTTACCTTCATTCGAGATGGTGCGTGGAGTGTATATCGGAGACAATGTTGCAGTTTCTCTAAACTGTAATCCTAAGAATGTAAAACTTTAATATAAATGTACAATAGCTACAGAATGTTTACCTTTTTTTTGTACTTTAGGTGGAAGAGAAGCTGTATGTAGCTGAGGTACGTGCAGTGATGAATCGCTGTCTGGAGATGTTTCACGATCTAAATTGTTTGAATCTGACGAAGAGTTATAAGCGTACTCATTTGCATATTTGGGATTTGCTTTTGACTTTCGTTTGCTTTGTTCACTTTCACTTTGTGACGAAGCTAAGTTATTGGTATGTTGCGCTTTAGTGGCTTTTTTGTTTGCTTTTTCAAAGTTATCTAAAAATATTAATACTTTATACCTATAGTGTAAATTACTTACTAACCATAAGATCCCAAAATGTCGATGTCAAATAAATCCCATTCTGTATTCGGTGGTTCACAATGTTGTACCATTTTTTAAAAAGTGTTTTGAGTAACATGGTTCCCCTTTGATGGAAAATAACACACTTTAGTGTTTTTTTTATTCCAACTTGCCGGAACCACTTCTATAAGGTTCTCGTCGATGAAATTTACTACTAAATATGAATCCATAACCTAAAAATAAGCATATAACAATTGCTTTATTTTATTTGTTTGCGTTTTTTTTTGTATATTTTTGATTAAATAAGCAGTATTATCTTATTTTTTAATTCTTTATCATTTTTTGTTAATACATATATTTTTAATAATTTTAATTGTTTAATTCCTATCTTTTTTTAATATTTATTCTATTACTAATCTCTTTTAACTTATTTTTTAACTATATTTTTTTATTGTTCTTAATTTTTTAAATTATATGGTATGTAACATACGAAATGAAACAAATTTCTGATCAAAAGGTAACAGCATTACTTTACACTTTATATATTGTGAATCAATAAGTTGATCTTCGATAGACAAATCTGAACATAGAAAGATTCCTAACGCAGATGAATCCAACGGAACAGTGTAAAAACTTTGTTTAGTTTTAAAAAAATTTGCAGTAACAATTTTTTTATTTTGTTGGAAGAATATGCATTTTGCTTTGCCTATTTCACCAGACTCTAATTCAAAATAGCAATCTGCATTATTAGTTTTGATTATCCATTCTAGAGTTCTCACAGAACATTCTTCATTACGTGAATTTTGTTCTTCACCAGTGTCTGGTGCAGTATTTCTTGAATGCCAAGACTCTTGCGATCTTCTTACCACTTGTTGCAGTGGTTGGTGAGTTTTTCTAACCATTCTCTTAAGTGTTTTCATGTAATTTTCGAAGGGGAATGCACTAAAGTTATCAAGTGGGCCAAACCGATTCGTGTCATCCACCAAATGCAAAAGACAGTGTACATTATGTGAAATAAAATCAGCACCATATAACTTTTTGCTTTGTTTGACAAAACTATACAGCAATTCTTTCGCAGTTTCCTGATAATTCTGATCAGAGCAAAGGTTAGGACTCACTAAAATTGAGGATGCAACATGCAATTTTAAAATATTTTTGTAAAACTTATTTTTTTTCATTACATTCCTTAAGACAACTGGCAATGCATACAATAAGAAAAACCTAAATTCAGTGGCTTTGTAACGTTTCACTTCAAGTAAGGGTCGAGTTTTCCTGGAAAACTCACATGGGACATATTTCTTTAATTTTAAAACTAAATTTGAAATAGCTAAAACATCTCTAGCTGGTAATTTATATCCAGGTTTTCCCAAAACCAATCCAAACTTTGTGTCTGCTAATACACGCTTCATTACACCTAAACATAATAGGTGCATGTAGTCCAAAGGCACGTCTTGTATTATGTCAAATGATGGCAGGTTTAACAATATAGTGGGTTCATTATGATGGTGCTGGGGCTGTGCTCGATTTCTAAAGCTGTTGTCGGTGCGTTTTGTAAAATGCAACTCCGGAAAACACATTCTATTATTAATCATATCTCCTTCTTGTGTGCACCTATTACATGAAAAATGTCCAGAATGGCCTTTAACACGTAAAACATAAGACCTAGCAGGCAAATCGCAAATAAGCATTTTCACTTTAAAATCCAAGTGGTGTCCATTGATTTCAATACCATTATCGATTAATGCTGATGCTTCCTCAACAAATTGCTTTAAAAATTCATTTGAATTTTCAGGTTTTTGATAGCCGTGATAAAGACCAAACAAAAGAACCTTATCTTTTACTGTAGACAACGACTTTACAACACCTAAAATAGGCCAAAATGATGAATTGCTGCTTTTACTTAATGGAAGTCCATCTACGTTTACTGCCAATTCAATAACAGATGTGTCAGATAGCAGTCCGAAACAATTATTTTTAGAAAAAAATTCATTAATGGTGTCTTTTATGCCAAAATAGAAAAACGTTCCTGGTTGTATCACATCAACTCTAGTTACACGAGGTGTTTTTAATAACGTTCGAGCATCAGAAGGTAAAGTTTGAAGGTGTTCACATCCACAATGTTTTAACATTTTTAACAATTTGGATGCTGAAGTGTGTGTAATATTTTCCGTGACAATCCATTCCGATAAGTTTTCTGTCAATAACTTCAAGTTGAACCTTTTTGCAATTGTTGATGTGTCTACATCAGCACCTGCTCTATCTAGATCTACAGTAACTGAATCGGTTTCACTTGTAACGGATTCAAGGTGTGAATCATCAGAATATGAATATTGTAAATCGATTTGCGAGGCCATTTCACAATAGGTGCCCTTAGACGAAGAAGGGTTGTTTTCATTTATAGTAGTACGACACGATGTATTTATCTCGCTACCCGTAAATAAAACATTTTTATGCGATTGAATTACTGGACCATCGACTTCATCGTTTTTCTTTTGTTTGGTATAAATTTTGTTACCTGCATTTATATATGCCATAGCAAAATCTAGATTACGCTTGCGGTCCCTTCTTTGCTGTCGGTCACTTTTATCCATCGACATACTGAAATATTCATACAAAAATATAGGTACTTAGAAATGTGATGTAGACTAGCATGTACATCTCAAAATGAACAACAATGAAACAAATTTCTATTCAGTATATCAATTTACAGTATTTTACACCCCTGATTACACCATTCATTAACTTTTAATTTATAAAAGTAGGTAACTTACCTGAGAAAGGAAAACGACGATAAAGAATATAAACAGGTAACTAATTTGCAAACTGCCAACGAACGTAAATATCAACGCGAACGCAAATAATAATCTAACAATCCGTTTTGTCAACCACAAAACGTGCAAATTAAAAAAAACACCACGCTACGCCATTAGAAAATAAGAATAACTACGCGACGCATGCTCAATGCGATGGCAAACAGCTGACTGTCTGGAGGATTAAAATAAATTCGGCGCGTAATTTGAACTTGAAGTAAGAAGAAATGAAATGTAAAATTAGGGTAGAACTATATAAAAATAAATCTTTTCGCACTGTAAACAAGGGCACTATATATGTAAGGTAAATTGCTTTTTCCTTTTTGCAGTTACCAAGCATATTCTCAGTATATGCGTGACATTCTTTTATAAGGTTCCCAACTTTGCATATTCTATGCATTTGAATGACATGTGAAGCATATACGTAGAAAGTCGGGTACATTATTTCCACATACTATGGATATTTTGTGTTATGTGGGTTGGGACAGGGTACATATCGACTACGCAGGACCCATCGATCATGTCTACATCCTCTTATGCATAGATGCGAAGTCAAGGTGGGCCGAAATGGAAGTCCTACGAGAACATCCTAATTCAGAAAACACCATGGAACTTTTAAACAGAATTTTCTCTCGAAATGGATATCCAAAAGAAATGGTATCAGACAATGCCACAATTTTCACGAGTAACGAGTTCAGAACGTATTGTAAGAATAACGCTATTTTCCAAAAATTTATCGCACCAGGACATCCTGCCACGAACGGACTGGCCGAGAGAAATGTACAAACTCTCAAAAACAAATTAAAATCAATGTCAACGGAAAGGATCCCATTGGAAACAAAAATTATGAAAATATTATTCCGATATCGAGCGACACTGTTACTAAATGGAAAGACACCAGCAGAACAATATTTAAACAGAAAATTCAGAATCCGTTTAGACTCAATGTTTCTTCATATTCCTACACCGAATCAAGACCTGCAAAAACGTCGTGCACGTTCACATCAAGCGGGAGAGGACATTGTAGCCGAATTTTACATACAAAACAAACGGACCTGGAAGCCAGGAACGGTAGTAAAATGCCTAGGGAAATTACATTACCTTGTCCGATTAGAAAACGACCGAATAGTGAAACGACACGTAAACCAGCTCAGAAGAAATGCACCTAAACAAGTAACCTTCAACCTACCAGAGGAGCCACAAATCCAAAAACCATTGGAATATGAAGAAGAATACCAACCTGCCATTTTACCACGTAGTTTAGATCGACAAGAAATGGAGCAGATTCTGATTCCAGAAGCAGATCGTCCAGAACCACCACGAAGATCAAATCGAAACCATAGACCACCACCCTACCTGAGCGATTACCAGATGAATTATATAGCAGGGGAGACTGTAGTGAATATTAAGAGGTCTCCACTGGTAAAAACAAGCGTACCTACCAACTGACGCTTCCTGTTAGTTTTTTTGTACGTATAATGCCAGTTCAGTGACATGTTAGATTTTGTAATGTGAATATATAAATATATAACTTTTTGCTGTGTTGTACCGCGGGTTATTTTCTATCCACCCACTTCGTCATGAACATTGGTCACCACAGATTTCAAAATATTTCTTGTTTTTCTCATTTTCATAGCAACGGAAGGTACCTATACTGATTTTATATCACTAATTAAACCATATTTTGTATTAGTTCTTATTTCCATTTTTATAGAATTATGCCGATTTTAAAGTGTAGCTTAGTGTAAAGAATTCTTTACACTATGAGTGTAGTAATAAAAAAAAATAGCGTAAAGTATTCGTGGATAACTGGTCTTTAAAACACTTGCTCTATTTCGAGCACTCCGGCTACGCCGTCGTGCTCGAAAAATCGCGCGTGTTTTAAAGACCTTAATATCCACTTATACTTTAATATACTATTTCATCATTTCGTCGCATCTGCATGCCCCGGTTACTCCGATTAATAAAACAATCTGAATCATAATATTACATTGGGAGGGCTCAAAATTAAAACTGATTTAAATTCACCTTTATTCCTAAATATACATCATCTGGGGCGTCCATTAGAAAACCTTCAAACTGCTCTTTAGTAAATATTCTGGACTTTTTTGCAGAATACCCTTCATTGGCCTTTTTCAAAAAACATCGTAGCTTTAAATATTGACTTAGGTATATTTATTCCATGCTTAATAATTAATTCGGATTTGATCATGGAATAACGAGACCACATTGTCGAAGATTTCCATTTTTTATCTTTTTGCATCTGATTAAAATACGCAAGAAGTAGGTACATTTTCTGAATAGATGATCACATTCTTTCCATTACACCATTGAATGAAGTGTTGATATGCAGCTAAATACTTTTCACCGGATTTCGAAGGTCCGAGGCACGATACTGCTTCATTCGCCTCAACGGTAATTTCAGGCGGCGCCGGCATGCATTGCATTCTAAAACTAACTAATCTATCTTTTTAGTGATTTAATTAACTTACTTCTTTCTTATAGAAAAATCTTTCTTATTCAAAATTACGAACTGACATGTAATTTTTTCACCAATAAGATTATTTACTGCGTAACCAAGGAAACAGCACCTATCTATTCATGTAAAGGAAAACAAACTTACCTACTTGACAATGACGTTTAATTTAACGAAAGCGATTAATATCCCTTAAAAACCTTGTGTTTTGGATAAATTTGCGGAAGTTTGAAGAAAAAATAGCATATTTTATTTGGAGGAAAAGTTACTTTTCATGGCTTGCCTTGACACAGGCGCGCCATGAAAAGTAATACTTCTCCTCCACATAAAATAATGTACTATTTTATTTTACTTGAATCACAATCTTCGTTTTAAACACTCAAATGCGTGCGAAAAAAAGGCCTTTTTGTAATTTCGTTATGAAATACTTAAATTTAGTTGACGTTTTCGGTTTTAAAAGAACCGTCATTTAGCCATAAGTGTCACATTTTGACACATTGGCGCACTGTGCGCCAAATCTAAATTGGCGCACTGGTACATTAGTCCTACACTATGCTGAACCTTAGTGTAACTATTCTTACACTATGGTTGAACGTGAATTCGGAGAAAGTAAATACGAACTAGTTTCTTCTGTAGCCGCTTTAACGCCGGATGAAATACTCACATTTTAATCGGAATATAGTTCATTTTGCTAGCAAAAAGTTCCCACACGCGATTGAACATTCTATTCAATTCGCAGGGGAGCCCGACCGGGCAGCACTTAGGCACACCAGAGGCCCATTGTGCCTACCCCCTTTCTTCGCAACTGAGTTCAGAGCCCGTTCCTCTCAATGAAGGATAGGACCCTGTTTAGCCTAAGTTGCTTCACCCTCTTCGGTTCCAGGTATCTGTCTCCAAGGAGTTGATATCTGTCCCTGATCAAAGCGTCACAGTGACAGACCACATGCTCGGTAGTTTCATCTGCCTCGCCACAAAACCTGCACGTTGACTCCTCCGCGAGCCCAATGTTATGCAGGTGATAGTTGACCATCCAGTGTCCCGTAAGGACACCAGTGATCTTCCTAAGCTGGCTTCTATTCAGTTTTAGAAGCTTAGAAGACCCCGATTTGCCAACGGGCCCTGTTAGAAAGGCCTTGGACTGTCGGAGTCCGGTTACTTGTTGCCACTGAGCCTGGAATTGACTGGTCAACCAATCTTTAATCCTGGCCCTAACAACGGACGCGATTGAACATAAAAGACGCGAAACGAGGATGCTTCAAACCAGGATGACAGGCAATGCTTATCCATAGCAACGCATTAGGTTAGGTATATTGCGATAATACATGAGTATTCAATTTTAAAATAAAGTTCTCTTTCCATTATAATACCTATTTCACATCAATTTCTTGACGAAATTACATGTTACAAGAGCTGAAAATACGTTATAGCGTAATGAGCATTAATGACGCGTGAGGCCGCAGGCCGAACCCGGCATGGAAGCGAGTTTACGCTATAGTTATCAGCTCGCGTACCATACAACATTTTTTGTGCTGCTTTTACTTATTCAAATATTTAAATAACAAATAAATAACATTTAAAAGGTATATTGGCTTTTTTTTCTACGCAATATTACGTTGGTAGCACTGCAGTTCGCCATTTTGATATTTGAATTTGAAATTTCTTTGATTTGAATTTTTTTATTTACGTCAAAATGAGTATACCAGAGCACGTACAAGTTTGTGCAAATAAGGCAATGGCAAATCTACTGCCAAAAAATCATCAAATCGTTATAATGAAGAGTATGTGAAGTTCACGAAGTGGTGCACAGATATAACGGCATTACGGAATATACAGAACAAGTTATACTAGCACTATAAAAAATACATCCCATAATCGGTACTACTAGCACTTGAAATCCTCTAATTAACATATTATATTGATAAGAAAGTGAACGGTTGGACAGAATTTTTTGTTTCTTAATTTAACATGTCAATCAAGTACGTAGAAGTACAAGTCAAACAGGCCGTATTTTGTTCTGTCATTGAGATATTTTCAAAGAGTAATTTCGTTCGAATTTTTTCAAAATGTGATAATATTAGGGATGTAATTTCTCTGGAAATGGCGGATGGTGGCAATTATTCATTTTAGAGAACTTGTCTAAACATTTATTGAGCGAAATTTCGGGTTGTGTTTTCTAAAAGTGACAGCGTGACAGTTCTCCATTATTGACTACTAGTTAATAATGTATTATTATTAACCACTTTGAACAAATGCCGAGAAAACCTACTTTACAAGTGGAAAAAAGGTTAATAATCATGTCATCAGACGCTAGTAGTGAAAAAAAGCATTTTTTTGTCATTATTATTAGGTCTATAGTATTATTATTTATCCATATAACGGGCGATCAAAAATGAGTTGCTTTCGAGTCGCCTTTGGAAATTCAAGTTAAGTACGATTTACTATGTAAACAAAAATTTCAAAGGTGACTCGACAGCAACTTATTTTTGATCGCATAGTATCATCTACTACGTATACTTTATAATAGAAAATCATTAACATGCTTCGACCTTTGCTGGATTTAGAGATTGAACTTTGCCGATCTAGATCTTTTCGCTGTACATTGCCGCATAGTTACTAAAACTAAATAGTGTCATTTGCCAGTTAAGCAGCACAAAAAAAACCTTGTACGCAACACGTTGCAAATTTTTTCTTTGGCGCGCACGTCTAGTGCGCCAAAAGACAGTCAATTAGCAACTTGTTACATAAATAGCTATTTTCACGTAGATCCCATAATCTTACACTTTTGCCGTTTATTAACTATCCTATCCCCGAGATCGTTTAGGTATAATTTGAAAATTTAGTCGAAATAAATTACTTACATTGCAAGCATGGGCGTACGCAGCTTTTGGTCTAGGGAGGGGCAAAAAATAAAATTGGCGAAAAAAAAATGTTTAATGAAACACATAATATACATTTTTATTTTGAGTAGATAATAGTTACTAAAAACGTCTTCAAAATGATTATATCTCAAAATATTAGTTATTACGATAATATGCGATAATTTGTGATGCCCCAGCGAAATCTTTTATAAGTTGTATTAAAAATCATACAGGATATTTTGGTTGCAGTACATGCATTCAGGAAGGTGATTTTATAGCCAATCGAGTTACGTATCCTGAATTAAACTGTACGTTACGAACGGATGCATCTTTTAGTGCTAAAATTCAAGCAGAACATCATAAAGGGATTTCTTGCTTAGAGGAATTGCAAATAGGGATGGTTTCTCAGATCCCAATTGATTATATGCATTTAGTATGCTTAGGTATTATGAAACGTTTGCTCCAATTTTGGGTGAAAGGAAAAATGAATGTCAGATTAAAAGGTGATGCATTAGACTATGCCTCGAATAAGTTAATTGGAATGAAATCTTGTATTACAACTGAATTTGCTAGAAAACCTAGAGGCTTACATGAAATTGATCGATGGAAGGCAACAGAATTGCGTCAATTTCTCTTGTATACTGGACCAGTTGTACTGAAAGATGTATTGCCACATACTTATTATGAACATTTTATTAGTTTAAGTGTTGCTATAAGAATATTGGCAGATAAAGATTTATGTATTACCTTGAATGATTATGCTCACTCTTTGTTAGTGTGGTTTGTAAGGCACTATGGAACGCTGTATGGTCAGGAATTTTTAACTTATAATGTGCACAATCTCTCGCATATAAGTAATGATGTTAAGATATTTGGTCCATTAGATAATTTTAGTAGTTTTAAATATGAAAATTATGTTTAAAATTAAACAAAAATTAAAACAAAGTGGGCGACCTTTACAACAATGAAGAAATAGAATAAAGGAAGAACAAGAACTGCCGCTTAAAACAGATATATGTAAAAACTATCCAGTTATTCATAAAGATAAAAATAATTGTGTTAACAGTTTAGATTTCAAACATTTTAATATCTCAACAAAGGAAGCGAATAATTGTTGTTTACTTCACGATGGATCTATTGCAATTATTACAAATATTAGTCACGAAAATGGAGATGCTATATTAACTGTAAATCAATATAAACATTTCAAGCCACACTATGAATCGCCTTGTGATTCTAGAAAAGTGGGAATATCTATAATCGATAAAAGTAGAATGACACAAACTGTAAAAATATCGGCAAACACAATTATAAAGAAGTGTATTATTATAAATAATGTATTTGAAAAAAACTTTGACAAAAATGAGTACATTGTGATTCCACAAATTCATTGCAAAGAATAATTCCCGTCCAAATATATGTTGTACATATAGTGAGAAATACCTACTTTAATACATTTTTAGTTAATTATAACAATATACTATTAGGTATGATTTTGTGACAGTCAAAAAAGTTAGTTTTTCAAAAAATCTTGCCTTTTCAGGTTTTTTAATATGTCATATGCGGTGGTAACATTCACCAACGAAGGATTGGGAGTTACATCCACGTCGGAAGTCCCCACTAATTGGCTGCTTAATGACAACAAACAATGTTGGTGGCCTTCGCTGAGCAAAAACATTAGCTCCTTAATTGCTAAAAGAGCCCAACCAACTGATGTATGGAGTAAAGAAGATGTAGTGGTTGAAACACTTGGGCGTAAGTATATCTGTGTTAGTACAAAATTTGAAAATTTATTTAATAATTTTTACGCAGTATCACTTGAGACGGCTCGAAAAAAAGCAGAAGATCTAGATTACACATCCTCAGAAGAGGCCAACACTGGCAGAGGTAAAAGGAAAATAACTCCGAAGCAATTTGAAAGTAGTTCTTCGGACAACGAAGTTATTTCTAAAGGTTAGTTACTTATTATTAAAATCTTAATTTAAGACAATTTAAGGTGCAAAAAGAAATGCAGCGATACCTCCGCCTCCTTCTTTCCCTAAGGATTTTCAAGAGAGTTCTTGCAATAGGTATAATACACAGTTTATAAATACATTGCATATGTAACAATTGTTTTGAATTACAGTATATCTTTGTCTGACCCAAATTCAGCTGTATTTACTGCAGTAGCTGAGGTTAATATTCCTACAGGTAAGGTCTGTGGTCTAATATATGGGTTACTAATCTTAGTGTATGATTTATATAGGAATGACGGCAGACAAACCTGATAACATAAATCTACCCGGAGTGCCAGATCAAATGCTCCAACCCAAGTAGCACAAATATATTTAAAATACATATAAAACTCTTATAAAGATATATTTTGAATAACCTTACGTAATATATGTATAAAATATATATATAGAATGTATTATATATATATATATAAAATATGAGTTAGCAGATACATTTTTAACATATTTTAAATACATATTTAATATGTAGGATGACCGTCTATTTTAAATAAATTCACTACTTATTTTCACAACGTCTATTTTTCCGTCCTTTTCATACATTGCTAACTTCACAATCAATCTGTACAGGGTGTTCTACAATCACCTACAGCTCGTCCATCCTGACTTTACCGATCGACCTCGATCGTGTGTGTGCATACAAAAAAAACTTAAAATTTGAAATCCAAAATTCATAACATAATTTCTTATAATAATTCCTTATCTCATAAATGCTGTTTTAAGTATAAAATAAACTACTTGTCTTTAACACAACAAATTTCTAGGTTAAATTCTAAACTAAAACTACAAATAATACAATTAGTCAGATTCGTACTCAATCTCAAAGCGATTCTAAAGCGAATACCATAAACATAAACATGAAAACGTTTTATCACATATATAATAGCTAAACATTCAAGTTCGTAACTGTGATATCTGGTTTCCTGATCGGTCGTCCTTTTGCTAAAATACATGACAGGATGAAACACTCCATTGTCTTGCTTTTGCAACAAAATTGCACCATACCCTAACTGACATGCGTCACAATGCAGTTCCGTTTCTGCAGTCGGTGAATATAAACAAAGAACTGGATTTGACCCTAAAGCATTTTTTAATTGATCAAAACTTTCAAGCTCTCGACTTCCAAATTTAAATTCTACATCCTTACGCATCAACGTGTACAGAGGACTGGCTATCATACCAAAATCTTTAACGAATTTTCGAAAATAGGAAACTAGTCCCAAAAAACTCTGCAAATCTTTATGGCATTTAGGAATTGGAAAATGTGTAACTGCTCGGATGTTTTCAAGATTTGGACTTATCCCTTCACTGGTTACTCTATATCCTAAATAACTGATTTCTTTCTTAAGAAACGAACATTTTTCAGTTCTTAACTCTAATAAATTGTCTACTAACAATTTGAACACTTTTTTAAGAATGCAAATATTCTCTTCAATCGTTTCAGTAGCTACCAACAAATCATCTATATATATTATTAATTCTCCACTGTCTACTAATGCTTTAAAAATATATGCAAGATAACGAGAAAATTCAATTGGTGAGTTACAAAACCCAAATGGCATGTTATTGAACTCATATTGTCCTGAATGAGTAACAAAAGACAAATATTTCCTGCATTGTTTGTTAACCAAAACATGATAAAAAGCATCCTTAAGATCTAATCTAGAAAAGAATTTCTTCCCCTTCAAGCTTTCCATTTGATCTTCTATAATTGGTATGGGAAAGTTAGCACGCAACACAATCTTATTTAGCTCTCGAAAGTCCACACACATTCTAGTATTACCATTCTTTTTCTTCACAAGCACAATTGGAGAACAATACTCGGATGTGCTAGGTGAAATTATTCCTCGTTTCAACAAATCATTTATAATTTTATCAACTTCCCCTTTTTCATAAAAGGATAATCGTCTCGGTCTAAAGTGAAATAATGAATTATTTGGCTTAACGACTATGTTCATTTCATAATCTAAAGCTGGTTTAGCTTTCCTAACAGGACTAACATAATGATCATTATATACAATTTCTAACTGCAGTTTCTCCGCATTTGTTAAACTAGACTCGATATCTAATGGTGGTATAACATTATCAGTAATATCATTAATTAATAACAATTCATTTTCAAGTTCATGATTTTTCAAGTTTGTGGGCTCAAAATGAATTTTGTCGTTGAAAGTAATTTTAAAATCGGGACAAGACACAAAATCTCTGCCCAAAACACAATCATACTGCATAGTACCTTCAGGCACAACATGGAAATTTATGGTAACATTAAAATCTTCAACCTTAACTACATTGTGAAACAATCCTAAAATAACTAAAGGCGAGCCATTAATACCTGCGTAGTTTTGATTTTTCGTCTCGTACTGCGTGATCGCTGCCATAGAAATCTTGCTAACATTGATTAGTGAAATCGGACTACCAGTATCTACTACTGCTTTTAACGGATCTGTAGCCTTCTCCAGATGTACATTCACCACGTATGCCGGAATAATCTTCGGTTTTTCTATCACTTCTTCGATCGGTGACATCTCAGAAACCAGAAGCGCATTGTTTGTAGAGTCCGGTTGTGGAGCAGGATTTGGACGTCGTAGCTTCGGACACTCTCGTCGCTGATGTCGGCTGGTAGCATGACCCCTTTTCCCTTCTCGGCTTCGAACATTCACTTGATCGGTGATTTAAGCCATTACAGTTAAAGCATCTCAACGCTGTCCTCGAATTTGATTGGGAACTTCTCGTTACGGAGCCACTACTTTCTACAACTGGTTTTTCACTGCTCACCCTAGCTGAACCTCTGTCCGCACCAGTGATGTTATTCATTGTTTGCTGCAACTCTGCAAGTGTACTGAACCCCTTCATCCTTGCCTGACTTTGCAACACACTGTTGTCGAAACCATCAATAACATACTCGATCACATCTGCTCGGTCCAGGTTTACTTTATTTGCAAGCACCACCTTGTCATTGAAATAAGTGGAGAACTTCTCATCTTTTCTCCAACGACGTGCCTCCATGGACTTCATCAATGCAATACGACTTGGTCTGCTAGCGAACATTGAACGTAATTCCACTTTAAAACTACTTAAGGACATCGTAACATAATCAACCTTGGAATAATACCATTCCAATGCTGCTCCAAGCAATTTTGTCACCATAATTACTTGCATAATCTCATCCGCTACCGCGTATACTCTCTGCACCGCTTCGACTCTGGTTAACCAATTAGCCACATCTTCACCGTCCTTGCCAGAAAAGGTTGGTAACAAAGCCGCTATCTCCTTATTGGAATACTTAAGTTGCTGTCGTGTTGGGGATAATTGCATTGTTCGGACAGTAGCCGTAATCACCTCTTCCATCGTCATCGTTGACATTTGATTACTCAGTTCACCTTCGCCAGTAATCCCCTGCGTTGGACTGCCGGTCTCACTATCAGTATTGGCCATAATGTATGGGATGTAATAACATAAAGCTGGATGCACGTGAATAACGTAACCTTAATTCCACGCTGCTTCCACGTTCTAACATAAAACGTATATCTAAAACATAAGTTAATATCCCAAGCAATAACTGGACGAGGATAACACGAATTCCACTTCTGAAATTGTAGGATGCCGTCGATTTTAAATAAATTCACTACTTATTTTCACAACGTCTATTTTTCCGTCCTTTTCATACATTGCTAACTTCACAATCAATCTGTACAGGGTGTTCTACAATCACCTACAAATACATGTTTTTTTTAAATTTTTGGATATGTGTTTAATAGAAGTTGGTGAATGTGTTTAATACCTTTAAAAGTTATATTTAATACGTTATAAAACTTCATATAAATCTTTAATAAAAGTTCTATTTAATATATTTAAAGTGCCTATTTTAAACCTTTGAATTCCCTAATAATAATAATAAGTGAAAACCAGGAAAATATTTTCAACGCTAGATGTTATGTGATTCATTTATAGTTCCTTTCCTTTGTACTGTGTACTGTTTAGTGTTTTGTGTAGCTGTAGGTAATTTAAGTGAAAGCGGTTTGGGTTGTCCGTAAGTCATTACCTACAAATTTGCATAAGAATTTCTGGCAAAACACGACCTTGCATTCCATCCCAACTCCCGAACTCGACAACAAACCCCCTATTGTATTGTTTACAGTGACTTTATAGAGACAGTGGCGACAACAGGGTATCTCGTTTTTGATTGGTCGTTGGTTCCGGTCGCCATATTGGAGCTAAATTCCAAACTGGCCAATAGAAAGCCTTCAAAACGACGCGGTGCACTCCGTGCTATAATTATTAATTATACTGTTTTGACAGTGTCACCTGTAATTGTCACGGCTTCATGTTACTAGTTTACACTTTGCTTCTTGTATTTGCTTTATTGTTGTATATAAATTAGCTCGTAAATTAGTGTTTTACGTTTAGTGATTTGTACATAGGACTTGAGTGATTTCAAAGATGGACGGTGAGCTGAAGCACGTAAGTACCATTCATAATTTTTAATTGAAAATGCTGCAACTTTGGTCATATTTTTAAGGCGCTAAGCACATAACCTCAAACTAAACAAATACAGTCAACTGTCGTTAACTCGAACATGGATCACTCAATATCTCAATTTATTTTCAATCCCTTTGGAAAAACCTGTCTTAAGTTGAAAAAATAACCATACTCGAAATAATATGGTTATCATTTTACCTATAGTCAAAAGAAACATAAATAACCTCTACCTTCAGTGCCCTTGATGGTCTGTGGTTCAGTTGATAATTCGAAATCAATATGCCTTTTACCTCAATAATAGTCGAAGTATTTACCTTTACATCTTGAAGTTTTCTCAACGAACCTCAGTGTACAGGCCGCAAGGTGCCTGTGAATCATATCCGGTTCAGCATCTCACTGTTGCATCATGTGTAAGTCGAATTTAATTTAGAAAGTAGAAAGACCGCTATAATTCGAACTATGCCCAAGTGGAATTATACGTAACTCAGAAAAATCGTAGTCTCGTGAGTTAGCGAGAGTATCGACTGTAAAATAATTTAGGACTGATCCATTGCTAAAGAATGTAGTAGAGAACTTAGATGGGTTGATCACGAGGGAAATTTTTGTCCCTCGTATAAGAATGTAAGAGGAAATTTTATGGAAATAAAAAGTTTGTATAGGGAAGTATATTTGGGGAAATTTAAGGAAATGCTGGGGGCAACGCTAGAAATCTTGGGGATTTACAACTGAACTCTTGTTTGATAATGTTGAACTTTGATGGAAGTTTTAAGTTGGTGGTGGGTATGGTTGGTAGTCGAAGGTATGCGTTGAATTCTGCATATTGCCACTGCGATAATGTTGAAATTGGATCAAAGCTATGCTACCTGACAAATTTGACAAATTTACCATATTCAGAGAGCAGGCAAAATATTCAAATACCTATTTATATTTGAAACTTCCTCTATATTGAAGTTTAATTGAACTTATGTAATTAGTGGCAATATTGGACGAATTTTGAGCTCATTTTTTCATAATGAAATGAATTGATTCTATTTAGTACCCACACGAGCAGCATAGAAAGAAATCAAATCGAGAATATAATTATAATTTAGGTAATTTGGCTAAACCGCTGCCTCAATAACTATAAAGTTGGTTATAATGAATTACTAGATACAGTGCTACATCGCCTGTCTGGCGACACCTAAATTATGAGAAAGCTTGTGAGGTTGCGAGCCGTAATAAATCACATCCCAAATGAAAATCAGTAGTTGCTTGCTTCTGCACTATGCCACCACAACTCGCACATAAACATATAAGAATCATCTACGTTGAAAATAAATTATACCCTTTGCATAAAATGTCTCTTAAAGCGAGTATTAAATGTATGTTACATGTGGATGTGGGGTTGGCTTATACCCAAATTAAGGTCGAATCAAAATTGACTTTACTTTCACTTTCAGGAATATTAATATGATTTCTCATTATGGACAAAAAACGGCATAGAAAATCATATCACCTTCTGTCCAAAACTGGCAAATGGAAACGATTAAATGAAAGTGAAGATTCAACAGAAGCGTCGTCATTTTGTGATGAACCGGGACCATCTTCACGTTCAGGCACATCTTGTTACCCAACTACCTTATGCTCATCTTCACCTATTGATCCTGATTTTGTTTCGCTAACACAAGAAACACAAAGTAGTTCAAATACAGACCCCACTGGAGACTGTAATGAAACAGTAGTAAATGAAATTTTTGATTTCAATTCACCTGTTTTGTACAATAGTGATTCAAATGATGATACTGAGGATGCACACGAAATCCCTCAAATTAATGTTATATTTGATGACGTAAATACATCAACTGATGAATCCGAGAGCGAAGATGGTAATCCAACAAAACCATCGGCAGCCATCACGTTTCTTAGACACTGGGCTTTGGAAGAGAATATATCTCTTTCATCTTTATCAAAATTGTGCAAAGGTTTAAAAACAGTTCATCCGCAATGTTTTTCTAATTTACCTACAGATGCCAGGACAATATTGAAAACCCCTAGAAATGACCTAAACATAATCGTTTGTCCACCTGGTGAATATTTCCATCTTGGGTTAAAATTTCAGTTAAATCTTGCATTAAGTGTATTGTCGCAACCAATCAGCAATCTATACATATTGTTTAATGTTGATGGTTTGCCATTGTTCAAAAGTGGCAAAGGTGAGCTGTGGCCCATTTTGATGGAGGTTCTGTCGATACCAGAGTTAAAAAAGAAGGTATTTCCAATTGGGATTTATTTTGGGGATGGAAAACCGCATGATTTAAATTTGTATCTAACTCAATTCTTAGAAGAGTTAATCGATGTTTTGAATAATGGGGTGTATTTCCATAACAATACTATTAATGTGAACCTATTAGGATTTTGCTGCGATGCCCCAGCTAAGGCTTATATTCTAGGTACTATTACACATACAGGATTTTTTAGTTGCACTCGTTGTACCGTGGAGGGCGAAACGTTTGAAAATCGTCGAATATTTACACAGTTAGACTGTCCTTTGCGAACCGATGCAGGCTTTAGGGATAGAATTGACACACATTTTCAACCTGAGGATCGTACTACACCCCTTGTTGCACTTCCACAATTAGATTTTGTTAAATCTTTTGTCCTAGACTATATGCATCTCGTTTGTTTGGGAGTTGTAAGAACACTTTTGTCATTGTGGACGTTTGGTCCCAGACCATTTTTGTTGGCTATCCAAATAAGAATTAAAATGTCAGATGTCCTGTTAAGTCTTAAAAATTATGTACCTTCAGAATTTGTTCGAAAACCAAGAGAGATGAAAGTATTACCTAGATGGAAAGCAACCGAATTGCATTCTTTCCTTTTGTACTATGCTCCAGTTGTTTTAAAACAATCTTTTTTGCCAACAGATCAATATGTACACTTTATAAGCCTTCATATCGCCATGACTGTGTTATTAAGTCCATCATTCTGTTCATCTCACACTATGCGCCAGTATGCTAGAGAATTGTTAATTCACTTCGTTCAATTAACATCAAATTTATACAGCCCTAAATTGATAACGCACAATTTTCATAATCTAATACATTTAGTGGATGATGCTGACCATTTTAGTCAATTTATTCATAATTTTAGCCTTAATGACATTTCGAGCTTCCCTTTTGAAAATTTTCTGCAAATTTTTAAAAAATTAGTAAGGGGAAAAGCAAAACCTTTGCACCAGATTGCTCGCAGAATAATGGAATTATTTTCGTCCAGCCATTTGAAGAATATGTATCAACAGTCACCACCAATTTCTTTTCCTCGTTTTAAAACCCCACATCACAATGGCCCTTTACTTCCATTTTGTCGTGAGGCCCAATTTAAAACGATTATTTTCAATTCTTTTAAAATATCTATTGACAGTGCAGATGATTGTTGTTGTGTACAGAATGGAGATGTGATTGTCGTGGAAAATATTGCTTTTTCAGATGAATTATCATCTGAAGTTATAATAGGCAGAAGGTACTTAGAAAAGAGCAACTTGTACTCTGAACCACTATGTCCCAGCTCCAACCTCAACATATTTAAAGTAAATAATTTGTCACATCGAGAAATATGGAGAGTGACAGATATTGTTTTTAAATTTGTTCGATTACCATTTGAGGAGGAATATGTAGTTTTTCCGTTACTTCACACCAACTGATAAATTATCGATAAATTATTCATTTTTGCCTTGCAATATAAACATGCGTTTAAACATTAAAAAAAAACATAATTAGACATACCTATATACCTTTAATCCATTTACACTTGTATATACTATTCTTCCTTTCTTGTCGCTTGTGGATATTGAAGATGGATTGATTTAGTAAGTAAATTGTTATCGTTGGGTGTATCCTTCCTACTTTGAAAGTACTTATTAACGATAGTGTGTTGACTGTTGAGCACATTTTTTAACTAAAAGTTTTCATATTTAAGTATTTGATTGAGGTGTGTATTTAAGAATTTGTTATTGGATTTACAGATATCGTGGACGGTGATTAAAAAAATTATTGGGGATAATGACGAAGAATTTGACACCATCCCGAGTAATTGGATCATATCACCTTCTTCAGCGCTGTACCCTGATAAAGGCGCAGCAACCGTAACAAAATTGGCAAGAAATTGTGCTACTCCTCAAAAGGATTGGATGCATGTTCGCATAGAGATTTATAAAGAAAATTACGGTGAGTTATTTAAAAAATGATGCTAATTGTTGTATTAATTATTATACATTTTAGAGAACTTTGAGCGTAGCATGATGGATGTGATCCGTTTAGAGAAAGGTGCCCGGTGTCTTAGTGCGTCGGAAACGGAAGAAAGAGGAGCCGGTCGACGGGTAGCTCGCTCACGGAAGCGGTCATCTTCATCGGAAGAAGGTGGCCATAGGGGATATCCGCCCCCTCCTAAAATGGGTAAAAAATCGCCCCGGAAATCTCCAAGGAACCAAGAATTTAAAAGAAATTTGTATAACACTCTACCATCTATACCAGTAGCGTTACCAGAACATCAGGTTCCGCGGCAGGCAGAGCCCTCAACATCCAAACTAGTAGTACCAGAGCGTGAGGTACAGGTTCAGGTGCCAGAAAAAAAGTGTGACATACCAAAAAAGTCACACTTTTGTGTATCATCGGGAAAGATTACATTGGAATCATTGGCACTGGGCCTTTGCCACTTATCAAGTAAGCATTGCATTGTAGTGAATGCACAACCAATCATATATTTTATTTTCAGAGACTGTACATAATTTTCAAAATAAATTAAAAGATATTCGTATGGAGATCGCAAGTAAAATGCCTGCAAACGACCCAGCTCTAAATGTTGAGGATCCTGGAGAAGATATCGAGGAGCCGATATTTAGTTTGCCGCTGAAAACCATAGATGAGCTTCAGGCGTTTGAGGAAAAGTTGAAAGAAAAAGAATTTTCTACAACAATTGTAAGTAATTCATCACACTTTGGTGTATAAGTGAATTTGTAATCTTTTCCCATATTTTCTTATTTATCGTACAGTAGTTGATACATATAAATGTTATATGTAATTTTAGTATTTCTAAGAATGTCTTTTTGATTTCAGGCAAAAGTTTTGGTACAGAAGATTGAGAAAACAAATATATCTAAAAGTGCTAGAAGTGCTTTAAAGCAATTGTTGGATCATTCACTATATCAAAAATTTAGTTGGAAAGGCCAACAGAGAAAGGATCAGGCTGAACCGAAGGAATGTTTCTCCAAGCTGCGCACGTGCGAATTAATTTACAGTAAGTTTTTCTTTTCTAGTTTATATTTTTTATATTGGGTCTTTGCTAGACATTCTGACATATCACTGTTCTTGTAGGAAATTGTTTGATGTGAACTTTTAATAGTGAAACACTTCAATTTAATGTAAATACCTACTCCAATAGTATATTTATTTTCAAATTCTATTAAGTTTCAACACTTAGCAATCTCCAATATGCCAACATTTTCAAAAATGTAACTTCAGCACCTTCTATTCTTTTCATTTTCAACCTGTCTTCAATTTCTTCCATCAATAATAATTAACTTCACCTGATGATGGCGATTATCGCCGAAACTATAGTCGTGTTTTAATAGTACAACAATAAATGTATGGGGAAGGCTTTGAGATCCGATTTTCTTAATCTTTGATAATAATAATAAATTGCTATGTTAAAAAATCCTCTGTATTGAGTAATACATAACATAACTAAATAAATATAGAGTACATATTAATTGTTTCTTGTTATTTCAGAATGTGTGAAGATGGTTTGGAAGAACGAAACTGACCTAAGGAAAAAAATTGAAACCACCTTAGCATCTTTCCTTGCCCAACAAGGTTCTTTGTATTTAAAAAGGTAATTTTTATTCCATTTTAATAATGATTTTTTCCTACATGTGGTCTTTTATTTCCTCAAAAGTCATTGAGCATTTTGATTGTGAGAAAAAGTTTCCAAGTAAATTTTTGTGGATATTTTTTTTAAATGAAGTTAATCACGCATATGGAGAGAAGACCCTGTGTGTGAAAATTGAATTAGATATGTTTGTTTATATTATCGTAGAATTAAATGTGGATGTATTTGTTTAGATCGAGTGTGTCGACTTCGGGTGCTGGAGAAATGCAAGAGGATCAAGATCCATAAATTGTATATATATATTTTGTTTTTTTTAGCTATTGGAATTTTTTTGCCTTTACATTTATTTTTTATGTTTATTATATATTTCGATTTTAAGTTCTTTGTTATTTGCATATTTTTCTGTAGGTATATAAATTATACCTTAAAATGTAGGTATTTTATATTTTATTAATAAATGTTTTATACATATTTTAAATGTTTTTAATTTGTACTTTATATATTCGATATCATATATAATATCTATTTAATCATACGAAAAGAGATATTTTATACTATTTCAATACATGTTTTGCACATGTTAGGAATGTATTTAATATATACTTTATACATTATTCTGAGGTATTTAATATCTATTAAACATATCTTTAATCACAAAAAACATATATTTTATACTTTTTAAACTTGTATTTTGTAGATATTTTGAATGAATTAAATATCTTTTTAATACAAGAAAAATATTATATTAATATGAGAAAAAAGTTTACTAGGAATATTTTAAAGATCTATTTTATACATCTTTTCACACATATTTAATATATATTAAATACAATTTTGTGCTACTTGGGAAATAGTACCATTAAGGTAGTTTGCTTATATGTATCAATCGGCCCAGAACTAATCAGAATTTTTGTAGCCAATTTGATATAGAAAACACTCCAGTCGTAATAGCAGATAACACTACACTGTCTAGTACTGTCGACACGAGAGCTGACAAAATAGTCTTGGAAAGCATTATTAAAGGTAATATTTTGAATATATGGTATATAATAATTGTAATGGTATATTATAATTTACTGTAGAGCATTGCCAAAAAATTGAGAGAATGTTTGGTTCGATCAATTTAAATTTAAAAAACATTAACTCCAGACTGGAAAAATTAGAAAAAAATGCTCCCGCCTTGAATGAAGAAGATACGGTTATTCAAGACAATTTGCCATTAAGGACAATTGAGGAAATCAACTCTTTTGAAAATTTAGTAAAGACCAACAGAGAAGCAGCAATTTTATTTGTACGGAAAATGTAATTTTTATGGTAGTTATATATACTATATTGTACTGTGTTGTTTTAGAGGAAATATATTTCAAACACTGGTGGGAATTGCCCAAAGGACAATGTTGTGCGACTATTACGGAAAATATTCACAAATGAATGCGCAATGAAGTGTTCGTGGATGGGGCATCGGAATAATTTTGGAGTTTCCAAATTAACCATCATGAGCATTGTAAATGGTAAGTTATATTTGTCTTATGAACCGAACTTGTGCATTTGGTTATTAGCTGTTGTTCTATTAGCATTTCCGCAACTGAAAGAACAAGAGTTTGAAACGTTTTGCGGAGAATGGCTTCGTTTCGCCAAACAAAGATTCACCAGAGAAACCAAAGGCGCAGCAGCGAGAAATAATTAAGATATGGTCGTTTTATAGAATTTTATTTTTAAATAGTGGATTAATGATTATACAGGGTGGCCCATTAGTACGTGGGTGGAAGATTATGGGTTTATTTACGCACATATTTCATTGTCGGGGCATGTTGAAGGACTCTTAAGGCTACAACGTAAAAATATTTTTAACAAAATTGCAACTGTTAGGTATACAGGGTGATTTATATCACAATTGCATTTTTTTAAAATAGAACCCATACCTATTATTACAAAATTTCAATTCCTTGGTCAATTTTAGTGTGACTTTATGTTTCACACAGGATATCTAAAATCAGTTGTTTAACCGCAATTCGTGATTTTTTCAAAAAGAACTACCCTTTTTTTTATTGCATAAAGAGTAGAATTTGATTACTTTTCTAACGATATAAGCATGTTGGTATTTATCTTTTACATGTTTTATTGTAATATTAAGTGCATTTCAAGATAATGTTTTTTTTTATTTAGACGTTTTATTTTGGTTTTTGAGTTTTTATTTTGTTTTGTTTGGGGTAAATGTTTTTATAATTTGAATTGGTGTTTATAATTTTTAACGGCCTATTAATTATCGAGAGGCTTTGCAAATGGAAAAGCACTGTGGATTATTAGAAACTGATGAATTACAAGACATATGTAAAAGGCTGAATACCGACATGCTCATACTGTTAGAAAGGTACTCAAATCCTACACCTTATGCAATAAAACAAACTTGGTAGTTCCGTTTGAAAAAACCAAGTTACCTTTGACTCAAATTTTGAAAATTGGCTGAGCGATTCCTGTTAACACACAAAAAAGTTTAACTTCGACCGTTCGGCGTTGGTTAGTACATTTGCAACTTTGATATAACTCACCCTGTATAATAATTGCAATTTTGTTGAAAATATTTTTAGTTTGTAGCCGTAAAAGTCCATCATCATGCTCCAACAATGAATTTCAAATGTGTCCTTTAAGAAACCCACAATCCTCCAACCACGCACTAATGGGCCATACTGTATAGCTTATACTTAGAATTTAGGAACATTTTTTTAATTAGATAATATAAACATGTATTCAAATTGTACTTATCTTTCGATTTTGGTTTGTTTATTTTGAAATAAATACCGTTTACTGCAAGTTTTTATTAATACAATTTTTTACAGATTATTTGAGTAGTGGAAAATATGGGTTACCCTGTATAGCAAATGCGACTGTATAATGCTATGTGCTTGTTACATAGAAGTTATACAGTTGCAATGTATTGGTACAAACAGTTATAAACCTGTTACATTGCAACAAAGTAACAGTTATAAACCCGTTACATTGCAACAATGTTGATGTTTTATCACATGTGATTTATCTGTTATATATTGGTTATGTTGTGCTGAGTGGGAAATTACAATTTACTAGCAACTTACATGTTATCTGCTTGTTATATAACATGTTACTAATAAAGTAACACATTTATATTGCATTTATAAAACTGTTATGTAGCGAGGTTTGTTGGAGCTAGTACTTTAGATTACTTGGTAAGTTTTAATCAAAACGATTTGAAGGATTAACAATTTGTTTAAATTAACAAAGCTTCTGTAAACAAGAAGATGGGAGAATAGTGGGTAATTTTTAAGTATTCTTTGGCAATACTCCCTTTTCAGCCGACCTGAAACTGATTTAAAAGATCTGACTTGATTTTCCTACAGTTTGGATTTGTTACGTGTAAAGGTGGGTTCATAGCTATCCATTGCGTTGGTCCGTCAAGCGGATAATACATTTTGTTAAGGTTCATAGCAATCCGTCCACATTGTACATTTGCAACGTATAACCATAACCTAAATTTTATTTTGTACTGTACCCTCCGTGATTTTCAGTATGTAAAAATGGTACGAAAGTAAGAACACGTTGCTATCTGATTATTACCGTGAAGAACGAATAGGCGAACACTGTTAACGTACCAAACATAACCTCACTCTTGTTAAAAACGGACCAACGGAAACGTAAATGTTCAACTTCAACCAACTTTTCCGTCATAAACGGACGACGTACGATTTAAAAATTTGCTGTCTTCTGATTGGCTAACGGACAAACGGAAACGTATGAACGGAGAGCTATGAACTTACCTTATGTTTTTCTACCTTTGATACCATAATTTGTTCTCTGTACTTTGTTGCTTGGCTACATTCAAAAAATCTGTCAATAAAATTTACTTTTAAAAAAGAAGTTAATGTACTTACTGTTGTCTCAAGAAATGGACCATGTTTAGATACAGGATACAGAGGTTTACCATCAAAATACTAGCACTAAGAGAAGCTGGGTAACTATTGATTCGTATCACTGTACACACCATAAACATGCTTCATTCAGCTTTTTAGTTGATAGATTACTTAATTTTCTTCTTTTCACTTTAAAATTATATTAAAAAATTGTGCACCATCAAAGAAATTGTTCTACCTACCTATATAATCGTTTTACCGAAAAATTACTTATGAACTTAATTAGGAAACATATACAGGGTGGGGCAGAGGAACTTCCCGATTTGTATTCGGCGCCCTTAGGCGACGGTTGCTCTGACGAAAGTGGGAATAGGTATATTTGAGAGAAGGGCATATAAAGTTTTTCCGCCGCGTGGTGTAGTCACCATCATGGAGTGGACGAAGGCGGAACGCGCGTTCGGCGTCGAGGCATACTTTTCTAATGGTCGCTCAGTCATAGCCACGCAATGTGCATTCCGTACTCATTTTAATTTTTTTTTTCTTCACATCACCAGTTCCCTAAAATTGTTTACCCATGAAACAATCGATTGCCGGCCAGGAACACGTCCACGTGGCGCGATATTAATGTGAGGAATTGTACCAGTAAATTATAGATATAAAAAATAATTAAAATTTCCCAATTATAATTAACACTATTAATAATAGGTCTACCTAAATTTCTGACGTCAGATGGTGTATGGTAAAATAAAATATTGTTTGCGAGTGTCTTTCTGTATATTAAATGTGATGAGAAAGTATGTGTTTGGTATAAATGATTAACAAAATTAAAATCTACGCAGAATGGCATAAGTTTAATAACATAAATTATAATTCTATACTAGGTACTAAAATTGTAAACATAAATAATACACACTTTGTCCTATTTTAGAGGTTCACTTCTTCAATTTTTTGCACCTTGTTGGCAGTATTTGTAGCATCAGATATAGATGAGTTAAGGTGGTTTTTGTCAGGTTTCGGTGCGATCGGCACAAATTTATTCTTTTGTGTAACATTATTAGTTATTACACTGTTATTTTCAATTCCCGACGTCGATGGGTTTGAAGGTTGAATCAAATTGGAGACGATCGACGTTGAAATGGTGGAAGAAACCGGAACTAAAGCTTTGGTAACTGTGCTTATAAGATTTACGTTTGCACTAGGAAGTAATTGTACAGTAGGAGTTGGAACTAATGAGATAGGAACGCTACTGACTATTGTATTTGATGAAATGTTGCTAGAAGTAATGAATACTTGTTGGAAAGGGCTTGAAGTTGAAGAATTGGATGGTAATGGATTGACTACTTGAAGTGAAGTGGGTATGCTAGAGCTAGAAGTCAAAATTGGCTTGGCTTGTGTAGTAGAAATTTGTGATGGAATAATTTTTTCTTCTATCGACATATTTGCTAATATGTGTTTTGTTTCAATAAGTGGTCGCTTTGCATGCAATTTAGATTCGGCAACACTGGATTTAACGGGACTGGGTTTGCTTTTAATCGGTTTGACTATGCATGTGGTTTTTTTGTGTCCCCAGTACTCTAACGGACGTGTAGCCGGCGGCTGGGGAGTATTGAAGCGCGCAGTTATGTTGGGTCGGCTTTCCACACTGACTGCTACAATGTAAACGGTTAACTCGGAGAGCATGCGTTCCAGAAGAATTAAATTATTCGATGTACGTCTCACACATCTATTTGTGTTTCTGAATGTCTGACAACGTTTGTCAAATTTGATTAATCCGTGATAATATTTTTTGAATAGGGTTTTAATCATTTCTGTTTCGCTAGAATGATGTCTTTGCATTGCATCAAACAAAAAGATATCGTTATCATCGGTACGATTTATTATTTTGAGTTCGTCGTCGATGTGTATTTCCTCTTCTTCTTCGGGTACGATAGTGTGCCTTTGAATGACTGAATATTCAACACCATCCTCTTCCTCGTTGTCAGACAGGCAAATAATATCATTAATATCATTTTCATTAGTATCTTCAATTTTTACTTCTTCATGTTTGATCAAACTCATATCACATTCTTCCTTTAGGTCAGGAACAAAATCATCATTACTAAATGTATCATCATGATTTATGCCTTCATCTTTAGTATCTTCGTCTCGATCTTCATACAAGGCAGTGTCAGCCTGAAAAGCTTCTTTATACTTCTCGACCATTGCCGGATTATCATCCACTCGCAGCAATTGTATGCGCGCATCATGTTTCTTTACATTAATAATGCAAGTGTCGTTAAGATGTTCTATCAGCAGTTGCAAATTCTTTATCCTCACTTTGCAAAATTTGCATGTAAGATGTGTTTTCTCATGGTCGACGAGTTGCCTTTTAGTATCACAAACCAAACTACACACAGCACAAATAAAAACGGCCAAAGTCTTTCCGGATGTTAATACAAATAAACTATCTTGATCCGATGTTGATCTGCCAGCCACCACACCGATTGTTGAAACGGTATCGCTATCAAAACTACTTTCAATGTGGTTGCGATTCGTTGAATCGAGCTCCTTAAAATCAGTCAGCATGTCCTTATTAAAATATCGTTTATTTTTCTTTTTAACAACTTTATCAGTTTTGCTGATTTTATTTGTAGCTGAAGATCCTACACGTGCAGCAGTTCTTTTTCTAGCCCTTTGAAAAATGACAGGGGTCTGTTTTTGGGATGACGAACTCTCGTCAGGCGACTTCCACCTGTCTAGTAAATTGATTTTTTCTGTGGGCAAATTATTTGGTAAACCAATTTTAGAATTGGATGAAAAATTAGGCAAATTCATTGCTGAACTGATTTTAAAAGTGGGCAAATCATTTGCTAAATCGATTTTAAAATGGGATGATGAATTAGGTTCAGTCTTTAACAAAAGTTTTTCATGCGGTTTGACATCTGTAAAGACATCATCAAGGAAATCAAACTTAGAATCGAAAGATGTCCTGCTCATATCTTTTTTTTCAGGAAGTGATGATGACAAGGAAGGCCTTTTCTTAGGTTGATCACTATCGCTCTCTTTCGAATGGATTGACAGGTTAGAAGTACTGAGAGCATCATCAAAGTGGTCATCCATGGACCAACCGCTACAACTAGATAAACTCCTTTTCCGATTTTCTTGGGGTACATTCACCTCGATTGTTGTAGTACTTTTTCTAGCAGTCGGTTTTTTAGATTTTAGATTATCCGATGCTTTGGATTGTACCGACTTAATTCCATCATTACTTGACAATGTGTCATTTTTACTACATGTAGAAGTTGTGCTAGGTCGCCTATCTAACACACTGTTATTGTTTATAACAGCAGGTATTGGTGAGACTATATCGTGAGAAGAGCCATTGCACTTTCCCATAGAGCCATCATCATTAGCAACTTTCTTAATCGTAATATGCGACAATCTCTTTTTCATTTTTTCCAATTGGCTCTCGTACCAATCTGATACTTCAGATTCATCTAATGATATCACAGGTGATAAGTCGTCAGAAAAGATTTTCTGTGAAACAATGAGATTAGGGTACGATTTATATAATTTCTGCACCGAGGGATGCTTGTAAATTACACGTGGAGGTTTTGGTTCTGGTGCTACATCTTTGCATATTTTCGCGGGTTCTTGCTGAACGCCTTTCATTTCACATTTCTCATTGATAATGCTCTGCAAGGAGGAATCAGTTTCATCTTCCATTTTGGTGTGCCCATTAGACAAACTGAAAGGACTTTCAGTCGATGCCTCGGTCGGTGACTGTTGTGGTATTCCATATTGTGCCTACAAGAAAACATGTGACATCTAAACATTGTAAATTAAGTTATTACCTTTAGCAATTTGTCATTATTAAGAGCATTGGAACGGTACCTATGCAGTTTAACTGCAATTTCGCAACATCTTTGGCAAACCATCTTCGAGACAATGTCATCTTCTTTAATCTGCAAAAGAATGAAAAACAAAAATATATTTAGTTTCCTTTATAGACTCTCAGAATTTAAGAATAGGTATTGTAATTAGTACATGAAACGAAGCTTAAAATAAGTATAAAACCTGGCAATTTTTTCAAAATCCATCGATTTGCATGGAAATTTGGAATTACGTTCAACTTACCCTCCACTTCAAAATCTATATTATGCCGATGGGCGCTCTTCATTTTTAGGGGTGAAACCTATTCCTTTTTTCCAGAACCCATAAAACTACATATTAAAGCTTAAAGTGAGTAAAGTTTGGTTCAGATGAGATGAGTAATGATTGTTAGAGGCTTAGGCACATTCTTTCAGAATATTTCCACCCTTAAAAATTAATCTTGTGGTTTAATAAAAAAAAGTATTTACTCTCAAAAAGTTAATAATTTATTATTGACGACAGTTGTTCAGTGTGCATTTCAAACAAAGTACGGTGTTCCACCTCCTGATAGATGGTGTATCAAACGTTGATATAAACATTAAACAATTCATACAGAAGGAGTATAATCGTATCGATATCTCTCGAGTGGGGCCGGCATTATGGCTCAATGGTAGAGCGTTAAGTTATAAATCCGGAGGTCGGGTGTTCGAACCTGGGTTGAGGTGAATTTTTCATCTGTGGTAGAGATGGAAATTACCTTAGACCAGTTTCGAGCATTCTGCCGGCTACTCCGAATTAGGTTTTCCTAATTCGTAACCCAGATAGCACAGTTCGTTTTATGTACGTCCGTTATTAAGCTGTTATTAGTACATACGTCCTTGGACTAAATATGTACTTCCATCATACGTACAACAGCACACGTTCCATGTACGTAAGGTACACGTATGTACCGTGTACGTCCATTTATGAGTTATTGTTGTTGCGTAAGACTTATGACCAAATTTGTACATCCATCGTACGTACGTGTTAAGACGTCCTATATGTTGGTACAACACCGTTCGTTCAGTGTACGCCATATCATTGAATTTATAACTATCAGAAGCGCGGATCCCATATAACAGTTTGTGACCATGTGCCAACTGGCCGCCGCTAGGAGCAGTTCGATCGTTTGAAAGTCCGTGGGCGATCGAAAGTGGAGCGTTACATTGACATTAGATGGCAGCATTACAAACCATTTATTTTGACCATTCGAATATTTTCCTTTTTAATCGTCAGATGTCAGGAACTCCGGATGTTTTTTGTGTTATCATTGGAATGGTTTTATAAATAGGATTGGAATGTTCTAAAAATAGATCCCTTAAGAAGCATTGCGTAAATTTGTAATGTAAATAATAATACATTTAGACGAACGAAGCTTGCAGTCCTTGTCCTTGAAGGAATGCAATTTCATACATTCTATTCACAGGCAGTAAAATAGGCAGGTTCCACATTTTTACTGAAAGCGGGAGATTTTGTTATTAAAAAACGATCAAAAAAAATTTGAAGGCAAAATATTGTCCGTTGCAAGCAGGCAGCTACATCATTTCCACATTCACATTTGATAACTAAATTTCTCGAATCAGCTTTTTTTATAACCATGCAGCATTGTGCACAAATAAATCGGTCCCAGTTTACGTGAATTCGTATACCTACTAGAGCTGAGCGATAAATGAAATTGTTATCGATTTATCGATAAGTCTGTTCAGTCTGATAATTATCGATTAATCATTAATTGATAACTATCGATAATTATCGATAACTTTAATCACTTATCGTTAACTTTCGATAATAATCGACAATTATCGATAAATCGTAAGGCTAATTTTCGATAATGATCGATAACGTTTGATAATTATCGATAACTTTTTATAATTATCGATAACTTTTGAAAATAATTAATAATGATTGTTAGCTGCTGATAATAATCGATTATTATTGCCACGAAAATTGTCTATCTCTGATATTTATCGATTAATAAATAAGTAGCGGAAATTATCAAGAGAAAACTATCGATACTTTTTCATAAATCTCATCGATATATATTCTCAATCGATATATTACATCATCCATGCGTACACTCGCAAACATTTTTGTTTTTTTGGTATTGATATTGCGAGAGATAATTTAAATAAAACAGGATCTTTTGATGCTCAAGTTGTCTGAAATCAAAGGTGATCAAGTGGACGATAATCCTCAAAAATGAGTACAGCAGTAGGTTGTGAATTGTGATCATATGGCAACTCAATAATGCTCTTACATCGCTTTTGTTGGAAGTAAACTGGTATACCTAAACATTGAAAAGTTTATGTCGTTAAAAATTCTCTCGATAATTATCTATCTTAATAGTTTAGTTGTGAGATTAATCGATAGATTATCGGAAATTATAGGTTTATCGACCAATCCTTTAACATTTTCGATAAATTACATCTACAGATTAATCGATAGATTATCGGTAATTATAGGTTTATCGCATCGGGAGCATGGGACATATATACCTTATTTTTATTGCTTCTATAGCCACAAATAAGAATTAGAACAAAAAATGGTTATGTATTTGTTTTTGTGTGAAAAAAATGCAAAAAACCAAAAAAAAAAAATACCTATAGAATCCTACTTACATAGGCATGATTTATTAAATGGTAACGTTTCTACATTTATAATTTGTTTATCTTAGAGTCTAAATGTTTAAAAATGGAACAGTTTTGCTGTTTTTGTCATGTTCAACTGAATCTGATCTTCCATCATGCTTCCAACTTCCTGGCCTTGGGAAGGTGCCTAAGTTCCATTGTCTCGAGAAAGTGTTGTCCTTATTCCAAATAAGCTCCCATATTATCCTTAAATTGATCTAAATGAGAATGTAACCTGTGCATCTTTATTCTTTAGAGACATTCTATACCCCATGATACAAAACCAAATCCTGTCAGCTCGTCATAATTTTCAGCTCTATGGTTTCCCAGGAAACACTGAACGGGAAACCATGGACTATTGCCTTAAAACTGTTCCAGGATTTTTTTTTCCTCTTTGCTAAGTAACCGCGGAAAAATATCACCCTCCATTTTTCTTTTTTTTTTAGGGAAAACAAAGATTCCAGCTTTAATTTTCGCCCCTGAAAGCTTTCAATCAAATCGCTGTAACTTTTGTAAAAGCAAATATTTTCGATGTCTTAATCGCACTTTTTATTTATTTTTGCTTATTATAGTCAGAATATATATTGTGTAAATCCCATGCGCAAAAAATTCTTTTTTTGTTGACCGGTCGACCATTTTTTTTAAATTTATCGATTCACTATCTATTAATCGATAATTATCTATAAGTTATCGATTAACCATTGAGAACAAATTTCAAACGTCAGAATTTAAAAGAAAAGAGGTTAACGACCTTTTTATTTTGTATCAAAATTGCCAGGTGTGACGTGTGATCCTAGATCAGGGGTCGGCAACCTGCGGCTCTTTTGATACCTATAAAGTTGCGGCTCTCCGTATTTATCTAAAGAAATTAGTTCATTTGTTCGAAATTCGCCTTTTTAATTAATCTTATTTTGTATCAAAAGTATACTTGCAGCAAATAATTATCTAATTTTTTACACTTGTTTACTTTCTGGTATTCTTTTGTTTTTTTTATTATAGCCAGCCTACTCCGATGTATAAACACGTAATTAATTAATGAGTAGGTACTCTTGTGAAAAATATTGAATAACCTAAACACTGCGGAGTTTAAGCACAGGGCACCCCTTATAAACATTTAAGAGAAGACAAAAGCGAATAGCGAAATAAAATAGTGGTAGTTCCATTTGAAAAAGAATAGTTATAGCACTTTGAACAAACGGCATTGAAACAACCAAATATTCAGGATGTTCTATCTAAAAAGATCAGTTATTAATTGACATCGTAAAAATGGAACACCCTGTACATTCAAAAATAATTTCTGTATATCCGCAACCACCAATATTTTTACCAGGTATCTATCAGCTATGTAGGAAAAACCGACGGACTGTTGCAGGACCCTGTATATAGCCAAAAACTATAATATTGAATCAAAAATTATTTGTGGCTCTTTAAGAATTGGGAAATTTTGTAAATTGTAATTTTTAGCTCTTCCGTTTCAATAGGTTGCCGACCCCTGTCCTAGGTAGTTTAACCGGTGGCAACGGTTTAACCGACACACACAAAAATTAAGAATAGATAGGTAGGTACATTTAATTTCTGTTACAGTGATCAAGGATGCCTGCGTATTTTTTGCTTTCCTGTTCAAATGTAATTCAATCTTCCTTAAGGAATGTTAAGTAAGGTCACGATTCATGAAAGGAAGAATGTTTATCTTACGTCATTCAACATCCTGTGTGCCACATAAATGCCTTATAAGTAGGTACGTTTCTTGGGTATCTAGAATTCTGTATACAACAATTACAAATCGAGATAGTGGGTTCATTACAGATTCCTGTATAATAATTAACAAAGGTAAAAAAACTGACATTATTATTCATCTTTCTCGATGGTAGAGACATCTACGTCTTGTAATTTAAACTATTGAAAACAGTCACATATCCTGCCATTTAACCTGCGCTTCTGATAGTTATAAATTCAATGGCCATATCTTCGGTTTGTGTTACTATTCGCGTTTACAGTTTACACTGTTGGTAGCGGCGGCTAATTTTTTCGTAGTTGGTAGAACTCGACACTCGTCCCGTTACGTGTTTTACAGGTTCCATTTGTTTAATGCTTTGTTTTGTTGTAGTGTAGTTATTTTATGGATTACACTTTTACAGGTAAACAAATAATAATTGCAAGTAGTTAAAATGAGGAATGAATTTAAATAATTTGTTGTAGGCGTTGTATGAAGTATTTTCGCGGTTTATTTTGTACGTAACCTCAAATTTGTTGGCGGTAATTTTCAGGATTACAACACTTGTACAGGTAAATAAATAATAATTGCAAGTAGTTAAAATGAGGAATTAATTTAAATAATTTGTTGCAGGCGCTGTATGAAGTATTTTTGCGGTGTATTTTGTACGTAACCTCAAATTTGTTGGCGGTAAGTGCATAAGTACGATTTCTTTTTATAATGGCTTCTAAAAGAAAGAGAGGTTACGTTGCGCTAACAAGCTCCCCAGGTATGATCATGAAATTGATAGAAATGGATAGAGGACACCTTAATTACACGTTATCAGTTAAAAAATTTGCGGAAGAAGCCTTACTTTTTCCACAATCTTCATTCAAAGTTCACTTCATTTCGTCGTAAGTGAGGTTATATTATTCAAATTACATTGTTGATTTTAAGTTGGTTATAGTGTTCTTAAAATTCCTCGGTGCCAACTTTAATTTCTTAAGAGGTTATGTTATTTTTTCACGATATAATAAACATTAAATAATGATGTACAAGTATTCTACATGTGTTTTTAATTATATCATAATAGTAGTAAGCAGTTCCCTACATGTTTTGTTCCTTCCCCTCTCGACCGTATTAGGCGATGGATGCTAAGCGGCGATGGATACGAAAAAGGCGTTCCAAGTTAAGCGGCGATCGCTAACGTAGCTGCGATCCATGGGAAATGCGAGAGATGTTCCTTCCCCTCTCGACCGTATTAGGCGGTGGATGCTAAGCGGCGATCGATACGAAAAAGGCGTTCCAAGTTAAGCGGGGATCGATACGAAAAAGGCGTTCCAAGTTAAGCGGCGATCGATACGAAAAAGGCGTTCCAAGTTAAGCGGCGATCGATACGGAAAAGGCGTTCCAAGTTAAGCGGCGATCGATACGAAAAAGGCGTTCCAAGTTAAGCGGCGATCGCTAACATAGCTGCGATCCATGGAAAATGCGAGAGATGTTCCTTCCCCTCTCGACCGTATTAGGCGGTGGATGCTAAGCGGCGATCGATACGAAAAAGGCGTTCCAAGTTAAGCGGCGATGGATACGAAAAAGGCGTTCCAAGTTAAGCGGCGATCGCTAACGTAGCTGCGATCCATGGGAAATGCGAGAGATGTTCCTTCCCCTCTCGACCGTATTAGGCGGTGGATGCTAAGCGGCGATCGATACGAAAAAGGCGTTCCAAGTTAAGCGGCGATCGATACGAAAAAGGCGTTCCAAGTTAAGCGGCGATCGCTAACATAGCTGCGATCCATGGAAAATGCGAGAGATGTTCCTTCCCCTCTCGACCGTATTAGGCGGTGGATGCTAAGCGGCGATCGATACGAAAAAGGCGTTCCAAGTTAAGCGGCGATGGATACGAAAAAGGCGTTCCAAGTTAAGCGGCGATCGCTAACGTAGCTGCGATCCATGGGAAATGCGAGAGATGTTCCTTCCCCTCTCGAACGTATTAGGCGGTGGATGCTAAGCAGCGATTCATATGAAACATGCAGGAAGTGCCCGGGTTTCCCCTCTCGGTGAGCGATACCAAGAAATCGATTTTTGCCACATGCAACCTTCTCTACGACATCCTTCTTCCCTGATGCATTCAAGTTTAGATTGTATAAGTTTCAAAAAGTGGTGTTATTAAAATGTCAGTCACATGGAAGTGTCGCTTATTTGGTGTTTAAGTCGAACAAAACCTAAAATTGTATTGTATATTATACCTGTTGTACTACTTTTATTACATTCTATTAATATACACGTTAAATCCAGCACATTTCATTTTAGTAGACGAAGAAGTTAACATAACCCCCTACACAAATTTACTGTCACCTGTGTTTATTAGTGGAAAAAGAGTTGTCACATAAAATTTTTCAGTTTCGCCAACTTAAGAATTACAAAATATACGTAAAATAACACCAGATTTCCAGAAAATGAGGTGAACTTTTAATTAAGATTGTGGAAAATTTAGGCCCTCTTCCGCAAATTTTTTTATTCTAAACGTGTTATTAAAGTGTCCTCTATCCATTTCTATCAATTTCATGATCATACCTGGGGAGCTTGTTAGCGTAACGTACCCGAAAGAGAAATTCTGTTTGTGCATCTCGGAGCCAGTATCGAATTGCGAGAACACGAACCGATCTGGCCGACGAAATGATTTCTTATGATGTCCCGCAAGTGGCTGATAATATACCCAATTCCGATCTTGATGTACCCAATTCGTTAGCTATTATTGATGATATTAGCAATGTAGAACCCTTACATTCTGTAGTTGATGACAGTATTGACGTGGAAGTGCATAGTGATGAATTTTCGTTATTTAGTTCCGATACTGAATCTAATAATAACGTTCGTGATTCGTCTCCAGAGTCATCCACGTTTAATTTCCCTACCACTACTAATGATCATGCCAGTGAAAATTTTCAGTCTCATTTAGCTTGCTGGGCCATTAAATTTAATATACCTCATGTCGCATTAAATGCATTACTTCTATTGCTAAAAATGTTTTTTGATGCTACACTCCCAAGCAATGCACGAACATTACTTGACACACCTCGACAGTTGCATATCAAAACAATTGAACCAGGTCAGTACTTCCACATTGGAATTATTAAAGCAGTTACAAAATTGTTGGCTAAGAATAATTTAGCCCATTTAACACCTGCCAGTGGAATTAAGATATGTGTTAATATCGATGGTCTGCCTATTGAAAAAAGTAGCAGCAATCAGCTCTGGCTAATTTTGTGTAATTTACAAGGTAATGTTAACAATGTCGAATTAATTGGTGTTTATCAAGGTTTTGACAAACCTAAAGAACCAAATATATTTTTAAATGATTTTGTTCAAGAAGCAATTTTCTTAACAAACAACGGCTTTACTTTTAATGGTAAAATATTTCCATTTGAAATAGCAGCATTTGTTTGTGACGCTCCAGCAAAGGCGTTTATAAAAAAGACGAAAGGTCACGCTGGTTACAGTTCCTGTACAAAATGTTACACAGTAGGTAATTTTGTAGAAAATCGTGTGTGTTTTCCCCAAATAGCAAACCTTAAACATCGAACAAACCAAGAATTCCGAAACAAGGTAGAGAAATTCCTGGTCTTAATATGATAGCTGCTTTTCCATTGGATTATATGCACCTCATTTGTTTAGGTGTGATGAGAAAGCTTTTGTTAATGTGGGTTACTGGAAAACCACCGACAAAATTGCAGCACATAAAAGTTCAAAATATATCACAAGCATTAATTAAACAAAGACCATTTTCACCTTGTGAATTTGCTCGTAAACCGCGATCTTTATCTGAAGTAAATCGATTTAAAGCAACAGAATATCGGCAGTTTTTATTATATACAGGCCCAGTTATTCTGCGTTCAATATTATCGCTAGATATGTACACAAATTTTTTAAGCCTGCATATAGCTACTTTAATTTTATCCAACACAAAGCTGTTATCGCACTTCGGAGATTATAGTGATTCATTACTTAAATATTTTGTAAAAACATTTATACTTATCTATGGCGAACAAAATGTATCACACAATATACATAATTTACTTCACATTTTTGCAGATAGCAAACAATTTGGAGTTTTGCAAAACTTTTGCAGTTTTCCCTTAGAAAATTATCTCCAGTCATTCAAAAGGATTATTAGAAAAGGTGACAAACCCTTATCCCAAATTATTAAAAGAAAGTTTGAGCAAGACTCTTGTGTAATTGTAGAAAATTCTTTCTGCTGTGGCTATCCTATACCCAGTATGGAACACAATAATGGACCTTTAATTGGTAACGGCGTATTGACACAATATAAGCAAATTCAATTTCAAAATTACACCTTGAAGCTTTCAATGGGTGATAATTGTTGCTGTCTGAATGATGGTAACGTTATATGTATTAAAAACTTTGTTTCAAAGGATGACGAGTTATTTATTATCGGGTTCAAGTACATGGAAAGAAGTGATGTGTATCTAAAACCTTGCAAATCTTCATCCTTGGGAATATATTTTGTAAGTGGGGAAGGATCCCTTAATATATGGAATATTAAGAACATTTCGAATAAACTTGTTAAGGTTATTGTAAATGATAAAATTGCTGTGTTTCCATTTTTACATTAGTTTTTTATAAGTTTGAATCTTTTGTTGAAAAATTTTTTTTTAGTTATTGTTTTATTAGCTGTGAGCATTGTTTTTGTTTTTGTCGCTTATAAGTACACTTTGTTATTTGTGGAAAAATACTTGTTTTGGCATTTATTTACAGTAATTCATCATAGAGATCATGTCTGCAAAAGTAACATGGTCCGTAATAAAATTTCCCGAGGACAATGATGCGGTTGAGGCAGTACCATCTAGATGGTTAGTGGGTAATAAATGTAAATGGCCTCCATACCCACCAAACAGCAAAAAGTTAATAGAGGCCATTGAGAAAAGTGAAATGCCTAGTGAAACATGGCAAGAATTTACCATTATACCTTTTCGTAACAATATTTATGGTATATTGTGTTATAATTTTGTATTACTAATAAACGAAAATTCTTTTTTAGATGATTATGAAGCTGTATCACTCCCAGATCCACCACCTGAGCCAGCATTCATCCGTAAGTAATGTTCATGTTATGATTGCAAGGTATATATATTTGTGTAATAAAACTATAATCAATAAAAATTTGAAATCTTTTTTATTGTTATCAGGATTTTTAACTGCAATTTGCTTTTACAGAGAAATTGATTAACAATGTAGAAGATTCGTCTTCACTTCAAGGTGCAATTGATTCTGATTCGTATCAAGATATAAATCCTAACGGATCTTCCTCAAAATTTATGGCTCCATCTCCAATTTGTAGAAAAACTCAAAAAGGTATTCCTATAATATATCCTATAATTTAAAAAAATAAATGCAAACACTTTTCAAGTGCGCAATGATCAACAACCTACTTATATCGAAGTACAACAGCCTATGCTTGACAAAAATTGTGACAAAACCGTTGTCCATACACTAGAAACACCAAATCAAAAAGAAATTGGAGTTAAAGATGTTTATAGTAAGTGCTAAAATAAGTTTTTTCTTTTGTACTCCACTGGTTTATGATTACTATTGCAGACCTATTGTTAAGGCTCACAAGAAAGCAAGAGTTATTACAGCTGGTAGTAACGGACATAAAGGAAAGTTTAATTAAAATGGAGACTGTATTATTGAGAAACCATCAGGTTGACGTAGAAACAGGAGATGCGGAATCCATTTCCCTTAAATTTAACCTACCCATTGATGGTGTCGAGAAGCTAAAAGAATTTGAAGCTTACTTCATTGAAAATGAGAAAGCATTTAAAAAAGCAGTGAGTAGTTCTTGAATTGCTGCAAATTTATATACATTGCATTATTAATTGTAGGTTCATGAAGTATCTCAATTAGGAGGGAAGCATTTGTATGACTTTATTTATAGGGCTGGGAGAACATTAATTACAAATAGCTTCGCATCAAAGTTCAGCTACTTGGGAAAGCGACAGAAAGAATCTTTTAAAATTCTTAAGATGAATAATTTGTTGATAGGTACATTTTGTGCTGCATAAGGTATAAATACCTAATTATACTATATAACATTTCTTGTAGAATCTGCTATGCATCTTCATAAACAAGCTACTGTCAAGGATGTAGAGGTGGAGATCTCGAAATGGCTTAAAAGAGCTGCAGAGAGGGCAAAAAATGAAAAAGAATAAGTCTACTTTTATCTTCTTTCGACCTAACTTTTAAAATAAATTAATTCATATTTAAAATATATTGTTTTTAGTTTTCACCCAACACTACATCTATATAAGATTTATTTTGAATTTGTATGTAACAGTTAAAATAAAATTTCTTAATTTCTTGTTCCATATCAAGTTAACTAAAAACAATAATTTCTATATTCAACAAACAATGGGAAGCATAATGCTTCAGCATTCGACTCTTCAGTTTTGAGGGAAAACGCCAGACAGCACACGGTCTGTTTACTAAAACGGTTGCCTCATTCGCAGAAGTTTATAGAAATGTGACGTAGCTCTGAATGTAAAAAAAATTAAACCCATATCATATTAGCTAATCAATTTGACATACAACACACAAATCAGCTAATAACTATGCGATTCATTTTTTTACATTTGGAATTACGCCAGGCATTTACAAACTGCTTTCACTGAGGCAACCGCTTTAGTATACTGACCATAGATCAGTCGGCAGCAGCAATCAAACATGACCTCCAGCTTCGGTCCATACTGAATATACATTGTACGTACATGGTATGACCTAATATAATGTATTATGTACGTACAAAATGTATGTAATGTGGACGTCCAATTTGTTGACAAAAAGACTAATTTTGGACCAAAAAAATCTCATAACTGGACCAATTGTGGACAGGCTATGGACGGAAAAGTGATCAATACAGACGTCTCTTGGACGTCCACTGTATGTCCTTGTGCTATCTGGGAAGGTAAATACAGGAGCAGTATAGACCAACTTAAGACCTTCTGCAGAGGTACCTCTAAAAAGCATTATGCGGGTCACTCTGTAATTGGGCGCAAGCCTGTTGAGGGCCCAGAACCAGAGAGGGATAATAAATAAATATTGAACATCCGGGAACCTATTTTCTAGTGAAAAAAATTTTAATACTTTTCATTCTGATATAACCTATGGTTCTATTTGTTTCTGTAATTAAAATTCAGATGTTCAAAGTGGTGATATTCTTTTTGAATGAAATGTAATTAAAAAATTACAATATTAAATACCTGGGTATTTTTGTTGATTATTTACCTATTCCCGATCTATCATTAACCATCCACGAAAACTTGATCTTGATAGTATGTGCGGTTTTAAAGATATGATAAGAGGGTGGCTATTTTAACCCCTTCGACGGCAGTGCACCTGGGTATTTTTGATGATTATTTATTCTCGAACTATCATTAACCATCCACGAAAATTTGATCGTGACAGTATGTGCTGTTTTTGGGATATGATAAGAGGGTGGCTTGTTCAACCCTTATTGATTCGTAATTCTGCTTGATGAGAGGGTTTTCTATTTAATTGTAAATAAAATTGTTCCAGTATTTAGAGAAAATGAATAAGAGCAACAAAATTCTGTGGCAAGGTCTAATTTCGGTCGGGTATGTTCGGAAATTTTGGCCGCTCTTTTCACGCCGGTGTTGATCTGCACTAGCCAAACTTACTACTGTCCATATCTTGATGTGCTTCATGCTCATTAAGAATTTTGACTTCCCCAGGAAACAAGATGCCGTGATAATCACGTCAAAAACCAGTGATGTCTACCACCATGACGTGATGTGACAAGAATGGTACGTGGTACAAATGCCTAATGAATGACGTCATACAAATACGAAAATGGGACGTGATAAACACGTCATTATTATGACTATTTTATTGGATATGCTTAATTTAATATATCAATATAGCTATTTGTGTATTAAGAGCGCAAAATGATATATTGTCGATTGAAAGAGACAGTTGACGCGCGACGAAGGAGCGCGGCAATCTCTTGAAATCGACAATCAATTTGCGCTCGAATTACACACAAGGTTTTTTCTACAATCGAGCAGTTCACATATTTCCAAAAATTTAAATTTTTCACTCAAATCATTTTAATCTTATGCCCAAATGAAAGATGTCATTTACTCGTTGTCATTGGATACTCTGAGCAATGCATATTTGATTTATAGTTAATAATTGGGAGAGCGAGCGTTTTTTCTATTTTGTCGCTTATTATAAGCGACAAAGTGACATTCCTCGAAAAAGATGACGTTTGCGTTGTCAAATACGAGCGCAAATGCCTACTTTGGATATCGATTGTAGAAAAAATTTATAGTATAGGTGTGTTTAATAAAGCCGCCCAGTGCACAATCACTGAATATGGGAATTACGATATTCTTTTTTACCGCCTTTTATCTTCGGTACCTGACGTTACAATTGCGGGTTATGTTCGTTTTTTGTCAGCTATCATGCGCAACGTGAACCAGGCTACGTTTCCATGCATACGAAAGCCGCATCCGTAAATAGTTTAGACCAATAGGGGAAGGCTATGTCAACTACGGATCCGTAGCTTCGATCAGCTGTTTGAAGTTGCCCAAGTTTCAACTTTTACGGATCCCGTCGTACTCCGCGCATGTGTAGTGACTTTGTTGAGTGTTGACATCCGTTTCGTTTGTTTTTATTTTGAATTTTGTTGGTTAAAGTGCTCGGTAGTAGACAATTTGTTTAGTGACTATGTGTGCTGATCGCAATCAAATTCATTATAAATGTGGATATTGTGGGTGGCTGATAGATGCATTCTGTGATGATTACATCAATCACAAGTGCTTTTTGAACCAAATTACGTCCAATAACATTGAAGAGGCACAATTTATAATAAAAGACAATGTTATGACTGTTCACAGTAAGTACACAGACAACGTATTGCACACAATCATTTCATTTTCATTTTAGATGTAAATAGTACGGGTATGCAGTCCCAAAATGCTACGATACCTGCTGAGGCCATAAGGGAGGAGGTCTTTGAAGAACTTTTAATTAGTGAAGTATGCATACGTCGTCCCCTATGGGATTTTAAATGCCCAGTTTCCGAACGTGGTCCATACAAGATCAAATGTCTATGGGAAGAAGATTGTGTGGCACTTAAAAGTAGGTTTAAGAATGTATAGAAGAAAAAATGTACAATATTAATTTAAAGGAAAATATTCAGTCGATCTTCTAAAGAAAAGGTGGCGTCAATTACGAGACGAGTTTGTCCGTAGCAAACGTAAGCAAAAACAATATGTGGCTAGTGGGTCAGCTGCTGATGATCGACCACCCAAGACAACATTCAAGTATTATGACTTGATGCGTTTTTTAGATGATACAATGTTAGAGGAGACTAGGTATGTAGTAACATTGCTAGCTTTATCTAGCATTAAAGTACTTATAGGACACAATCAAATGTAGAGAGTGTTCATCGGAAGCATCAACACAAATGGCTTCTCATCGTCCATCACCAACACTATCACAGTCTGAAACTGAACCACTTCACACTCCATCTGCAAAGAGAGCTAGTATGTTGATAAGTATATTGGTACATCTTCATGGCCTACAATGATATTTGCAGGGACCAAGGAACGTCAACATAAAGGGCAATTAGATGAGCCGCTGAATCAAGCTTTGTTGAATTCCTTAAATGAAAAGACTCAACCTTTAGATGGGGTTGATGGTTTTTTGTTGATGGTTGGGGAACGCTTACGCCGTCTCCCTTACGTAAATCGCACACGGATAGAGCTGGAAATTCTGCAACTCCTTCATACAGAAGAAACAAATATAAATAAATGATTATTGTTCATACTATTTTATTGCATAAAATCAAACATGAATTGTATTAAGCACAGTAGAAAATTAAAATTCATTTCGTTCAGCTTTCTCCAATTGCCATGGTACGGCACCTTCGCCCTCAAAATAATTTGCAAATACTTCCCTATGTTTCCAGCATTTCGACTGTGCATATTGCTACCGGTTCGTTACATGTCGATTAGGCCTGTTGATGTACTTTCTAAACCATCCTGTACAGAGTATCTACGTTCTGCAGAGGACAACGTCATTTCTTTTTTAATAATAAAATTATGTAAGCATACTACTGCTTGCACAATTTTTACCGTTGTTTGTATACTTGTATTAATGGGTCTGGCCAATAGTCTCCAACGCCCTCTCAAAAGTCCAAATGCGCACTCCACAGTTCTCCTTGCAACACTCGGACGATAATTAAAGATTTTTTTCCTTAAATTTAAGCTACTTTTGCGTGGGAAAGGCCTCATCATTGTAGTCGTCAAGGCAAATGCTTCATCGCCCACAAACACATATGGGGTAATGTTACTACTATTTGATGGCAGAGGTTCCGCACATGGAATATTTAGAGAACTGTTGTCAAGGGCTCTTCCAATTTCACTACTTCGAAAAACTCCACCGTCACTTTGTCTTCCGGGAGAACCTATGTCCACAAGTATAAAACATAGGTCTGCATCGGCCACTCCAAGTAAATTAATACTATGGCTACCCTTATAATTGAAGCGTTAAGTGGATAAAGGTGTCATGTAACATTGAGATAAAGTTGAGAAAATTAAAGTTAAAGTTTTTAACTTGGTACTTTTTTATGATTGCAAGACAAAATCCGGCTTACCTCAATACGTGTCGCATTCAGGAATATATCTTTTAGGCTTCAATCAAATATGAATTTTTTTTATTTATTTCTATTTTAAAGGGTAATTTTGTACATGACACCTTTATCCAATATTAGTCACACTTATTTAGACATGGAGAAAAGTAATACATATATTGTGTAAACGAAAAATTTTATTCTGCCAATTTTTAAAGAAAACAATAAAAGTTAAGATTAAATATATAGATTAGTTTGTCTTTCTGGCCTTTTTCTTAGATTTTTCCGTGGTATGGGATTTCTCGTGTTTGTCAAAAATTTTTTCATAGTACCAGCGATACTCTTCCTTAACAAACTTTACTTGCTCTTTTAAGTTCCCTATCTTTTCGTTTGAAAGGCTTCCTCTATTTCCTTGAACCCTTGTTAAATTTACATGTTGTGGTTCAACAAGTTTGTGGGCCGCTTTCAAAATGTTAACCTTTTGAAAAGGTTCTTCTTCATCCAGAGTCTCTTTATAAAAATATGATCCATATTCATTCACTCTTATCCATTTAACTTGATCTCTAAATTTAACTTGTTGTTCTAAAGTGTTCTTCTTTTTGTTAGTTAAATGCAGACGTTGCACCAGTATTTCAAGATCCAAAAAGTATGGTTTCATATCAATACAGATAGAGGTTTTAGCACTTGCCTTTAGTATAATTTCGCGGTATTGATCTGGAACATAGATGTTCTCCACTAGTCTCATTTTTCGTTCAATGCGCCCAAAATCTCTATCAGAGTCCAAATACGAATGCCCCACCTCTGGAAACTTGTGGTCTATAACTTGGAATATGCCTTTCATCACTAAGTACTGGTACAAAGTAATGATGTTAAAATTTTTATTTTGTCCGGCACATGAGTCCGACCAAATGATAAGGTGGGTGAATTGCTCGCCATGTGCATCTTTGAACAGTTCAGCGAATCTCATCAAGCAGCTACCTATTTCTATGCTTCCTCTATTAGCTTGATCTTCCGTCCACGTAAAAAAGTACGATTGATGTCCTGCAGATGTTATGGTGTGAATCCCAAAATTATACAACCACATCTGGCGTAGGTAGAAAGCTTTAGATGTCGATAATTTCGGGAGCGGCATCGTTTGCTGCAAGTCCATCGTCATATAGCAAATATTAGGTTTTGTACTTGCTAACTGGCGATCTACACGTTGTTTGTCAAAAGCTAATTTGTACTTTTGTTTATGTTCGTTAGTACCCTCACCAGAATCGCACGTGGAGCATGTATCGCTTTTGGGATGGCCAAACCCTAAATTAAATTTAGTTGAAAAAATCTTACTGTAGGAACTTCGTGTGCACTTAAAATAATCTGGTAACTTATTTTCAACACAATGTTCGAGATAGAGTTTGTGCATAATGGTTATATTTAGAACTGGCGCCAAATACATTCTGTGGGGATTGTGATTTCTCGAATAATGCGATTCTTCGGCAGGAAACTTTTTAATATGGTTAATGATGCACTCAACAACATCATCTTTAAGTTTATGAGGCCTATTTGAATGATGACCCCTTTTATCAGGGGGTGGGAGCACACTCACCATTCTTTAGTTTCCTTTGAATATTTTCAATTTTCTTTCTGCTAAATTGAAAAAGACCACATAATGCGTCTCGACAAACAGGAATCACTTTTTGGTCGTATGTTATTGAATATTTAAAAGTAAATTTCTTCGGATTCGTAGTATTTGCTCTGTGTCGTTGAACATTTTCAATGACAATACTTTTAAATAAAAGGGCGTTTTTTGCATTAATATCCAAGCTATAATACTTCTTCAAAATAGCATATCGAGCTTCTAAAGTAAATTTATCATTGCAATTTAGTCTGCACTTTTCTTTGCACAATGTACCCTGTTCTATTTGTTTCTGTGGCATTATCTTTCCATTTTGCGATAAATAACTTTCGCCTTTTGCTCTAGCGATGGCCGCTTTATTTTTTTTCCATTTTTCTGGTATTCTTGTTCTCTTTCTAGAAATCTTTTCCCTGGACTCAAATATTTTTCTCTTCGCCTTTTGTATTTTCTCTGAAGGTGCTGCGTTTACAACAGGGCTCTTTTGCTGTGAGTTTTCAGCTGTGACATGAAGTACTGCTACTTCCTCTGACCTTGATACACTAACGTCAGAATCACTTTCACCACTACAATCTGTTTCACTAAGTTCGTCTTCGTTTGGAATATATTCATCACTGGATCCATTTTCAGAAAAGGCATTATAGGGTGGGTCATCATCACGCATGGCTTCTGTATCAACACCAAATGAAGGGGGGCTGGTGTCTCTGACTTTTCCACTGATTTTATCATCTATACTAACAATCGAATTGATAGTATCTACAATCTCAGTATCCAATACTTCTTCTTGGCGTTCTCCTTAACAAATGAAAAATATGATGAAAACAAACAAATATTGCTAATTTAACTAATAATAATAGCAACTTGGTGTACTTTCAAGCAAATTGTATAACCAAACTCAGTATATAGCATTACTTACCTTCATTAGAAAAACTTTGACTTTTCTCCGCCCTTTCCTTTAAAAGTTGTAACATCAACTTTCCTCGGGATCCCATTTTGTACAAATATTGGAACAAATACCGCACATTCAACACAAACTGCTTTCTGTAGCAATCAACATTCACTAACCTTAACCTTAAAATTTGAGTCAAGTAGGTGTCATGTTTCCTGTTAAGAAAGAATCACAATAAACCATTGAGTGAATAAAGGTGTCATGTTACTTTAACACCTTTATCCACTCACTGGTTTAAAAAAATGTGTGCACATAACACTTTTATCCACATTTATTTCAATAAATAAAGGGCACAGAACTTTTGTAGTTCGGTCAAAATTTAAGTTGCAATATATTAGAGCGTTTCATTAAAAAAAATGAGTTTTTGTGAAAATGTGACATAACACCTTTATCCACTTAACGCTTCAATTATAGTAAGTTGAACCACTCTGTTTTGGTGCCTGAAACATTAGGAATTAGTAACAAAAATTTAGTGTATTTGTTTTCATACTTCTATAATGACATGTTTGCCATCGATTGCACCAATACAATGCGGAAAATGGCATACAGTATTAAACTTTTCGGCGATTGTTTTCCACGCATTGGTATCAGGAACTTGTAAATACAGTGGCTTCAAGCACTTCCATATTGCAGAGCAAGTCTCCTCAATAATATCCGAGACAGTAGTAAGTCCCACTCGAAATGAATAAGAAAGGGACACCATTCTATCCCCACTAGCCAGATATCTAAGTGTAATTTGTAACCTGATGTGCGGTGGAATGGGAAGTCTTACTAAATGTTGCTTTTGAATTACAAGATTTAATAGTTCATAAAACTGAGCCACGGACATCCTTAAGTAATTAAAATATTTGTCAGGATGTAATTCTTCTAACTCTCTTAGCAAATTGTTACTAGCGCCCTGTGACAAACGTTGCACCTCAGAAAAAATTGACCTAGTCCAAAATCTATGCACTCTTTTACAGGTGTTTGCGTTATTATATTGTCGAAATAATACATACAATTTATACAGATTCCGTATTTTATTCACATTTGGATTTCTCATGCGAATTAATTTACACATTACAACAAGCAATGCTCTTTCTTTTTGTACAAAATCCATTCTGTAAACGCCGTGACTCGGGGCACGTTAACGTGCCGGAATTTTTTGACGAACGAGGCACGTTTGACGTTTGCAATCAGCTGATTTCTCTACTTGAGATTTGTCAAGTGAGGTTATAGAAATAAAATCTTGGTGTTTCCTCTGATTCAACTATAGTGGTGTGGGTTAGTACCTATTATAGTTAATACTGTTAATAGTGCATGGGTAGTTACAATACAATACAAATATTTTTGAAAACAGAGTTGAAAACCGAAACTATTCCCAACATAAGTAAATTATTCTTATATCGACGAACCACTTGCCATGTCTGCAGAGGAAGACACATTATACAAAGGGCGTCGATTTGATACTTATGAGGAGTTAGAAATGTGTGTGAAGAGTTATGAAACTATCAATAAACAAAAGTTTTATAAAATAAGGAGCCGAACAATCACCAGTGCATCTAATTCTCTTAAGAGAAAACTTAAACAATCTCTCGTCTATTATGAGATTGAATATGCATGCATTCATGGAAAAAGACTTGCAAAAAGAGGTAATGGAATAAAAAAAACTAGGTGAGTTATCCTTTTTCATATTTTATAACAATTTTCATGTAAATATTTTTTCTTACAGCACTTTGCGCCAAGGATGTGAAGCAAACTTTAAGCTTCGTGTTTCATCTGAGGGACATTCTTTACAAATATGTAGCATTAACACGATGCATACAAAACATGAACTGTCACAGGTATGTACTTACTTATCCTATTTTATTAGTCTCATGTAGCCTTCAAAATATGGCTACTTACTACTTAGTTGGTCACTTTAACTACCTTTTAGGCTCATAAATAAAAGCACTAATTTGAATTCCACAATCATTCATTTTACAAAACTATATTAGAGCCCTTCAAATTATATTATTAAGAACACATTTCTTGAAGATATGCTTAAATTTTTTATTTTTGTTATTCAGAAGGTGTATGATCATCTACCTCAGACTCGCGCATTGAATGAAGACGAGCTCAAATCTGTGCAAACTTTTTTATCTTTGGATGCAAATAAAAAGAAAATTCAGAGTAAAGTGCTGGCAGACACTGGGAAGAAAACGACATTAAAGGACTTGCAAAATATCAATTATAGAAGAAAGATAGAGAAGAATGATCTAGATGAAGTTGTTTCTTTGTTGACAAAATCTTATGGTATTTATTTTTTATGCAAAAATATTTATAAATTTAATATATGATTATAGGATGTATGGTTGATATTTTCTGTGATGAGGATGAAAAATTCAAAGCAATGCAGTTTACAACACAAGATATGAGAAATGCTTTAAATGCTTGGCCAGAATTTATAAGTATCGATGGAACATATAAATTGATTGATATAGGTTGCACTGTATTTTTATGTCTGGTAGTAGATTCTAATGGACAGTCAGAAATTGCTAATGTCTCACTTATTTCTACCGAAGATAAAAAGACCTACCACTGGATATTTGAACAATTTAAAAAACATTTTGATTTTACAAAGGTGAAATCTTTCATGGGCGATAAAGATTTAGTAGAACGTCAAGTTGTTAAAGATCTTTTCCCAAACACTCCATTTTATCTTTGTATCTTCCATACACTAAAGACGTTTAGAAGAGAAGTGACTTGTGACAAAATGAATATTTCCAGAGAAGAGCGTGATTTATCGTTAAATTATGTACAAAAACTTGTATATAGTAAAAATGAATCAGAATATGATTTATTATATTCTCAATTCAAAGAGTGTGTTCCACAATCTGTGATAGCATATTTTGAAAAAAATTGGCACAGGATAAGAAATGAATGGATTATTTTCAATATGAAGCAATGTAATTTTAATAACACTACAAACAACAGAATGGAATCTATAAATCAAAAAATTAAGCAAGTGGTGCATAAGAATTCGACACTGATGCAGTTCGTCAAGAACTTCTTTATTTTTATAAATTCTAATCAACAAGAAAGGGATTTTAAAGCAGCCACTCATATTTTAAAGAAACCACTGTTCGCAATTTCTAAGTAGGTATTCAAAAGACATTCTTTGTTACTCAAATGTTGTTACCCGTTACAGCATGAAATTTATACAAGAGCAAATCAATTTCATTGATAATGTAAAGGTTGGAATTGAAGGACCGACAGGAACATTCACAATAGCTTCATCGAAAGGCAACTTATCAGTTACTCATGAATATTGTCCTTGTTCAGATTTTTTATCTATGATGTTACCTTGCCGATATATTTTTGCAGTAAGGGTGAAGCAAAACATGCCATTGTATTCAGAATCGTTAGTTCATGAACGCTGGAAAACTTCCTTCTATTTAACAAAACAAAGGATTGCCAATCAAGAATCAATACAAGTTGGTGACCATCATGTATATCGTTCTGAACCTAAAATGAAAACATTGACAATAACGGAGAAGAGAAAGTCTGCCACTCTTGTTGCGAATTCCCTAGTAAACACGCTTAGTATGGCTAGTGGCAGCGAATTCAATCATAAGTTAAACTTTCTAAAGAGGATTGATGATGCTTGGAAATCGGGGAAGGAAATAAACATAGATATTCCTAATTCAGATTCACAAATAGGTAAGCCATTAGCTAGTAAACAGAACAAATTATAAAGCTACTATTTCAGGAAAAACGCTTATTGATGAAGAAGAAAATGAAAAACTGGTTATGTCAGTGGATACTGAAGTAAATTCACAGGGAGATGAGAGTGCTCGGGAGAGTCATTTACCAAACATAACTATTGAACCGCAAACCACATATGAAGAGCGGAAAGTTACTTTGGAGAATGAAAAAGAAAATTTGTCAGAAAATATAAATATTGAACTGCCTTTAAAAATAAAGAAGCGTGGTAGACCACGGGGTCATGACACAACTGTGATAGGTCTGAAGAAAAAAAGGAATAAGATTGTTCCATTAAAGTTTGCTTTGAAAATAAGTGAATCACAGGACTGTTATATTCTTAGGCATGTTATAAATGATGATATTGAAGTTACAGAGGAAACATTACTGAATCCGTCATTTGAAGTGGTGGTAGAAGATTTAAAGAATGAAATTCCAGATTGTGTGTTAGGTAATGGATGTACATCTATACAATACAAATTATTTTGACACCATATGTTTGCAGATGATTCTGTCAATTTGGCTCGGCTGAAGAGGTACTTTGTCACTGATGCTTGGGAGTACTTTTCTTTTATGTTAAATGATAAGAAAAGCAAGGAAGATTGGACATGCAGATCATGTGCAATGCAACTAGGAAATCGTCCATCAATAGTTTGTGAATCCTGTCTATTTTGGTTTCACTTGGAATGCTCTGCACTAACTAAACTGCCAAGAATCAAAACCTGGTTTTGTATATATTGTTACAATAAATTATGATCGTTTTTTTTAATGGTATTTTATGAAATGTTTATAACAAATGAAGTCAAGGTGATATCCAAGCAAGATATTAATTTCTACAGTTTAATTTCAAGGCAGATCTAATTAATAACTATTGCCAATGACATTTTAACAAAAAAATAATACAAGAAAACCTCTGGCTGTACTGTAAGGCTGAGGTAGATTTCGAAGTTTAAATACGTACATAGTTATGTAGCTAATTGTTGATTATCAAAATGCGAGCGTTTCTTGGAGCAAATAACTAATAAAAGTTACTAAAATTCAGATATTTGTACTAGTAGTGTAGTTGTAGTAGTTCTGTTCATTAACGGAAAATGTTCTAAAGTGAAGTATTGAAATTTAATACTAAAACATATCTACACTTTCCAAGTACTAGAATCCAGTGCTAAAAGTTATAATGTGCCAATAAATGTATTCATAACTTTATTATTTATACAACCTAGTAGTGTGGATAAATGTTTTATAGCAATCCGTTCATGGCCCTATAATCTAAACATTTACCTTATATTGTTTTAGCAGATCTGATGTAAAAAATTTGAATACAATATTGTAGAAGACAATGAATCCTATCATTTGATATCCGTACTATCCCTAAGAACTGATTGTTAAAAAACGTAAAATCAGTATAAATAGAAATAGTAACTATTTTCGGAAGTACCTAAGTACACATTTCCTTATTTCCTTTTCGGATTCATCATTTTCATTGATACAGGAGCATCAGGCAATCGATCATAATGCACATGTGCATTTATTTAACTATGAAAAGAAATATTAAGAACAAAGCAAAATTCTGATTGTTAGTGACTAATTAGTAATTACTAAATAATGATAATTAGTTGTTAACCCACCATATGAAATGAGAACTTATTCAGATAACGAAAGGGAGCTTGATGGTTAGGTTAGGTTTTATTTTAAAATGATCAGCTGTTCAATGTTTTTATTTGTATGAACGCGCGCATTTAACGTGCCCCGTTTGTCGAAAAATTCCGGCAACGTGCCCCGAGCATATATATAAGAGATATATATATATGGCCCCGAGTCACGGCGTTGTGTAAAATTTGATGTGAAGAACGAAATGTTTTGATTTACCTTTTTTAGGTTATGTTAATTGACAGAATCTGTCAGAATGTAGAGTTTTCGCATACGAAATACGTGTACATGAAAATGGTCTATTGATATTGTACAGAGAATTGCACGGATGCGTATTAGGTTTTCGTATGCATGGAAACGTAGCCTTAGCGTCCTCCGTTACATACATAATAAAAAAGATGGAGTTTTTAGGTGTGGAGTTTTCTGCGTCTTGTGGGGGCGGTTTAGCTATAATTAACAGAAACTGGTTAACGCCAAGAAAAAAAATGCCTTCTGGCCACCCTACAAAACTCAATCTGTGTACGAAAAAGCATTAAAAACGGGAGAGACACCAAATGAAGCAAACTGGAAAATTTATCCTGTTTCTAGGTGCTTCTTCGAAACGGTGTGTATTTTTGTCCATTATTATAATTCTAGTTATTCATAATGCATTTTTTTTAGATGATTACTCGAAAGCAAGGTCAAAACTAAAGAGAGCCGAATTACAGTCTGATGTTCAATCAGATGCCGATGAGGATTCGTGTTTAAGTAAGAGGGCTATTCATCCTCCAAAACGGTTGTGCTATGAAAGCAGTGATGAAGAAGGGTCACTCAATACACTTCCTGCACCACCTCCAATAAATATCTCGTTAGAGCTTTCTAAAAATTTATTAAATGAAGAGTCGGCAGGTATTTATATTAGAATGTTAGTATATTAGTCACATTATTTATTTTGTAAAAAGCACTTCAGAAGTCGGGTGCAGATCTTAAGCCACCTTCTACATGTAGTAAACCTTTAAACTGGAAAGGTCTGCCTCGACAAAATTCGAGGGACTATCGTCAGAGCAGACCAAAAAGTCAACAGTATCGCCCTTTACAGAAGTCCCAGTACCACAAGACCCCTCACCATCAGAACCAACGAGGGGCAAAAAGTACACAAAGACCCAAGAGCTCCAGCTGGAGCTGGAAATCCTCCGCCACCAGGCGAAACTAAATGTAAGTAAATTTGGAGGAAGATTAAAACATTTTAGGCCAAGATGGGAATTATTCACAAAAGACCCATCACTTTTAAACGTTTTAAAAGGTTACAGGATTCCTTTTATTACAAAAATTTATCAACAACGTTTGCCTAAGGAAAAGTTATGGGGAGTAATGGGAATTTCTGTCATACTACAAAATTTTTTGGCTAGTGGGGTAATTTCTAAATGTAATTCTGTTAAAGGACAGTATGTCTCGTCAATTTTCTTGGTACCTAAACCAGATGTCTTATTTTAAATTTAAAAAACCTCTGTACAGCCCCATATATTTTTACGAAATTAATGAAGCCTGCTGTGGCGTTTTTGAGAGGCCAGGGATTGGTCTCTGTAGTGCACTTAGACGATTTTTTACTTCTTGGAAATTCATATGAAAACTGCCTTAAAAATATAAAAGTTACAGAAGAAACTCTTTTAAGTTTGGGTTTCCTTATTAATTATAAGAAAAGCAAATTAAAGCCTTCAACAGTCAATTTTTGGGTTCGCGTCTAGGCAAAATTTCGAAGCTGATAGAGCGGCTCGCGTGTTTGATGGAGAAACGGAGTACGAATTATGCAATGATTCATTTTTAGAAATCTCCAGAAAATTCGGAACTCCTGATATCGACTTATTTGCATCTAGGCTCAATGCTAAGTGTGATAAATATTGCTCATGGTTTAGGGACCCAAGCTCTTGGAAAGTTGATGCGCTTACGATCCCGTGGAACGCCTTAAAATTTTACGCTTTTCCTCCTTTTTCTATTATCTTAAGAGTTTTACAAAAAATTAAGAATGATAATGCCGAGGGAATTGTGGTAGTCCCCTTTTGGCCTACTCAAGTTTGGTTTCCGCTCTATATGTCACTGTGTAAATATTCCATTATGTTACATCCTACATCTAAATTACTTCTTTCGCCTGATAGGACCCCTCATCCATTATGGAAAAAGCTTACCCTGGTGGCGGGGTTTTTATCCGGGAGGCCCTAAGACGACAAGGCAAGCCTCAAGCAGCAATGGATACAGCCTTTTGACTGCGATAATTTGAATTTAAATCCGCCTTTGACTTGGTCTCCGTATCAGTGCATAACTGACCTCCTGACAGACCCTGTTTTCTCTGACCTTAATGATACCCCAGAGATTATCCTTACCGGTACAATAGATCCCATTGCTTTAAACGAGACCGGCTCAATCACAAATATTCCAATTGCTCTGAATATACCCTCATTGCCACCAGATGCACCAGTAGTGTGTCTAAATGTGAAGAGATCAGAGTGTGTACAGATAATGATTGAATTCTATAAGGATAAGTCAGCATCAGAAAAGCAGTTGTCGGTAAAGTTTATCGAAGAAGAAGGAATCGATGGGGGCGGTTTAACGAAGGAAGTTTTCAACATATTCTTTGAAAAAATTGACCGGTTGTATTTTCGCGGTGAAAACTGCATCGTTCCTTTCGTACCCCTTAATAGAAAAAAGAGAAGGGAAACTATGTGTATATAGGCAGAGCATTACAACATATGCTTTTAAGTACTGGATCATTACCATCCAAAATTTCAAGAACTACTCTTTTCATGTTAGCAGATCCTGAACTTGAAGTTACCAGTGACATCTTACTGCAAGATCTTTATTTGTATCTTAATCCATATGAAAGCATGATTTTACGAAAGGCCATTGAGAATTATACTCAAATGAGCATAAAGGAACGAGACACACTTGCAAACTTATTTACGGCCAAAGAATATTTCGATGTTCCTCGGGGAGAAGAAATTAAAGAACAAATATTAGCAATTGCACAGGACGTTTGCTAGTTGATTAAGTAATTTTGTCTTGTAAACAAGTAGGCAGTTTTGTTCTAAAAACACAAACTTATATTCTTTATTTTATTGGTATACACAAAATATTTTGAATTTTAATCATGAAAAGAAAGTAGGTAAGTAATAATACAGATATACGTTAACGTATCTGTTGCGGGTACTAAACTTTAAGGAAATGGATTTTCGACAAATAAAGTTTATAACATACTTAAAAATGTCATTCCTTAATTGTATGTAGAGATCTGTAGCCTCATATGCTGTGCTAGGTCTCTCATAATGATTTTCTTCACTTAAAATCTGACAAAGTTATGAACCACGGCCGAGAAAATGAAAAATGTATAGTTTAATGGTGGACATTTAAAATCTATAATTTTTAAAATAGTACTTTGTGTACCAAGGCGGGAAAGTGGTCGTTTTCCGGGGCGAAGGAAGATATGACCAGGCGAGGCGAAGCCGAGGCTGGCCACTTCCTTGCCACTTTCGTGCCGTGGTGCACACAATATTTTTTATCCTATACACTTAGATTTAAAATTACTCCCTCAACAACGCCCAACCGCAAGCGCTTGAATTTGAATTTGCTTTAACGCGTCAACGTGCAAGCGTTTGTTTTGTTTATTTCCACGTTTCCTGCTGACTACACGAAAAAAATTTTATTTTTCATTTGTCTATTATACAGGGTGATTCCTATAGTACCTGCCACCGTTTGGGAGCGTATAGGGGGTGCCTAGGGGAAGTCTTTTCATATAGGACACTTGGGGTCGGAAATCTAAAATAAGGGCGCCAGAACCAAATTTATCTTCTGGAATTTCACGCCTGTATGTAGGCACCCCAACCGACCGACGTTTCGCGCGGAGCGATGCAGAGCGAGTTAGCGCGAGGAAGCGACATGGGAGGGAAGGAGGGAAAACGACAGTCAAAAGCAATAACGTTTAAAAGTGTTCAACGTGGCCACCGTTGTTCTCAATGCACTTCCTACATCTAGCCAACCACTCCCCTCGAACTCGCGTGAAGACTCCTACGTCCTGGCGAACAGCCTCTCCGGCCATGACGACGCGCGCAATTAAGTCCTCTTCGGATTCGACGGGAGTCTCGTAGACGTGCGCTTCCATCACACCCCACAAGTAAAAATCTAATGGGGTGATGTCGGGCGAGCGGGCAGGTCACTCCACCGCACCTCCACGGCCGATCCATCTGTCCGGATAGGTTTGGTCCAAGTGTTCCCTCACCTGCCGCCCGTAGTGAGCAGGGCACCCATCGTGCTGGAACCAGTGGTCCCAGTATAAGTTCACTGGGTTGCCTACCTACAGGCGCGAAATTCCAGAAGGTAAATTTGGCTCTGGCACCCTTATTTTAGATTTCCGACCCCAAGTATCCTATATCAAAATACTCCCCTACGCACCACCTACACGCTCCCAAACGGTGGCAGGTACTATAGGAATCACCCTGTATGTCAATTATATCTGTCATATGTGATATATGAAGCAGTCTATTACGCCCAAGGCCATAATGGGAGGGCATAATGGATTGTCCTCTCATTATGCCCCTCGTTATGCCCTCAAACGGCCCGTCAAATTGATTGACGGAGTTACATTATGTCATAAAAAAGATGCAACTTGATTCGTATGAAGCACTTTAATGTTGGGCAAACAATAATCATGACATTTGTATATTGGAAATGCATTCCTTGGAACGATGAAAAATAAAATGTTGTATGCACCTCAGGCATTACTCAATATTTAACCCTCGGGCGACTTACAATCTCTTGGGCCAGAGGCCCTCGGGCTCTGTCGCCCTCGGCATAAATATCGCCTTAATGCCCTTGATGCATAAATAACTATTACGAAACGGTGCAATCTAAGTGGGTCCACGAGTATATTTTTTTACTCGTAGATTTACCCCTTTCCCTTATAATACAGTTCAATGCAAATTCAAATTCTAGCGCGCTTTCGGTTGCAGTGCGGTGGCCACCGAAGGGAGTCACGGTGCAACAGAGCAGAGGTGCAAGTGTAGAATACCGATCATGTGCGAACTGAGTTGACATTCCCGGCATTTCACTGGCGCGTGATTAGGTATTTCCTTAAAAAGTAACGGGATTTAAGGGGTTGTATTTAATATCAGGCGCATTTGAAATTATTACTGGTCTTGTGTATTAACAAATGTGTTTTAAAATTGAATGTGTTTTAAGGGACAAAATCACACCGGTTACATTTTAAATCCTTGGCAGGATCCATGTCTTGACAAATGTTAGATGCTTTGAAGACTGGATTTATGCTTGGTGAGGAAAGCGCAATGGGTACACTTTAAATCCTTGATGATCTTGTATGTTAAAAAAATGTGTATTATAAATAGATTTATTCATTCCTTACAGTCACACTGGACCCATTTTAAATTCGGGGTAGACGTAGACTGGTATGTTAAAATGTGACTTATTGCGGATAAGCGGTGTTCTACTTACAGTGTAAAGTACATCTCGGTGTTAAATGTGTTGGCACAGATGCTCGTTATTGAAAGTAAATGGGAGAGTTTGAAACGTTTGAATTGGTCAGGTGATATTGGAAATGTATTTTAATTCACGAAACATGGATAGGTAGGTAGGTACGCGGTAATTAAATGAATTCAGTAAAATAAAGTGAACATAGGGTAAATTTAATTATTAAATCAGTGTTAACGATTTTTTGTTTATTTAATTAAAAAGAAATACCTTCTAGCTTACATAGACGTAATTTTTTAAAAACTGCATTCAATGCGTATTATTTTTCAGATATTTACTTTTTTTTATACCAAAATTTCTAATCACTACAGTGTAGCGAAAAACGTCACATTTCACTTCCGGGCCCTGTAAAATAATTATTTATAGGTGATGCCTTAAATGTAATTTAATTGTGACATTTTAACTCTTACTTTGCTTTTATTTCAGATGGATAGTTACTATGGCTTACTGAATCTGATGAAACTACTGCTAGTACTGAAAGCAATTTACCTTAGAACCCACAATGTGCATCGGTGCCTCGATTGCTGCATAATAAATTGACCTTCGATCATGATACCATATTGTTACCACAGCTTACTTACTATCCAGCTCCGCAACTCTCGAGCGGCGCCTTTGATCTGGCGGTCTACAACCAAGCGAGATGGAATGGTGCCCTCTTTCTCGCGCTTGGGGTAAAAGTCGGAGCCGGATTAAACGAATTTTCATCGCGCGGTCGTTTCACAGTACCGTAGTAGGTGATTTTTGAGCTGTATTGTAATGTGAACGTTTAGAATTTGCTGTACAATATTACGTAATATTGCAATGAAACTAGGGTTAGGAGTTTAATACATTTTATTGCCTAATTGAATTGAATTCGGGACAATGGCCAACGTGGCAACACTGGGCTTGATTGCACGCCAAACAGGCAATGCAGTCTTTTACCCCAAGAGGCGGGGCATAAGCGCTGCGCGCGTAGATCGGCGCAAACCGCTCCCGCCAAGAGAGTTGTGCAGCTGGATAGTAAGTAAGCTGTGTTGTTACTATTACTTCATGAAAATAGAGCTAAATGACGTGATAGAACCATAAAGAAAGAGTCATTCTGGAGGGCAATTTAACGAAATGAGTTATAATGCTAATGCGACTGAGTTACACAAACAATTTCGAAATCTGAAACAAATATGTTAAATTGAAGGATAATAACGGAAAAACTGGAAGGGGTCGCACAAATTGGATATATTAGTCGCTTTCCATTTAAGTGCGTGAAGCTCTGGTGCAGTTCGTTCGGAGTAGCTCTAGTTGTAGTTGCCACCGTATTCAAATGGAACAGGGAAATAATTTGGTTTGTTTTCCTTTTTGAGGTTATGTGTATTTTGATTTTTTATATAAGATGAATTTGCAATCTGTGGATGAGTACAACTTAGAGTTAATAGACCCACAAACAAATAAACATTATAATGTTATTGTAAATCATGATGATTACGTAAGGGCACAAAATGGTAAGCTTTGCAGATTACATGACCTCTTGTTCTATTTTGCATTACAGATGAGAAGTTTCTTGGCAGCCTTTTATTTCATGCCAAAACAAATGCAAACTGTGAGTATGTAACTACACAAAGAACCGAAGAAAATCAATTCGATGAGGGAAATGTTTCAAAAGGAGGAAATGTGTGGTCATATCAAGCTACAGTAGATCTCATTCATGCAATGAATGTACATAAGGATGATCTCAATCATCCATTAAAGCGTAAACATGTGTATGAGCATATTTGTAACGATATGTTAAGTTCCGGCCATAATATTACAGAAGTAATGGCAAGAAACAAATGGAAAAGTCTGTGCCGTAGTTACTCAAAAGCTAAAGATAATCGCAATCGTACCGGACAGGCTCCAGCTCGCTTTTTATTTTTCGACTTGATGGATGATGTTTTAGGAGATAAACCCACAAACAATTGCCAACATTCAATTAATTCTAATAACGCTCCCCTTACGGACCTTACAAATAGTGAATCTACTGAACAGCCTATTGTAGCTGAAACTGATGAACACGTTGCCAGTGAAAGCGAGAAGAAAACAAAAGCATCGGCTAAAACATCTCTCGTAGAATATATTAAATTAAAAAGGGAAGAATGTAAGGCGAAGAAGCAACGACATGAAGAAAGATTAAAAATGCAACAAGAGATAATTGACTTCCACGAGAATGAACCGCCATTATTTGTGATCGGTTTTATTAATTTGTACATGTTTTTTTGGTTACATATTTTGTACCTTGTAAGAAATAAAAGTTTTATTTTATTGCATATCACATTGGGTTATTTGTATACATTTCACAAAAGATTTGTTGTTGCCGAGAAGTATTGGTCGGTTCTGCGATAGAATGATATGGAACTTCCTCAGGATCAGTATTATCCGCGAGATTCAACTCGATGTAGTCATCTTCGTCTATGCATATGTTATGTAAGATAGCTGCAGCCATAATTAACTTGGAACAGTTTTACATTGATGTTTTCCATTTTTTTAGGCGTCGAAATCTACATTTCAGAAGACCGAAACTATTTTCAACTATAACTCTGGTTGCTGAAATTTTCTTATTGAATTCTTTTTGTCGAACTGAAAGTTTCCCGTTATCCTTAAATGGTGTAACAAGCCAGTCTAAATTTGGATATGCAGAATCTCCCAATATTATATAGTTCTTCATAACATTAGCATTGTTCAGTATTGTTCTATAAATTCCAGACTTTCGGAGAAGTCTAGCATCGTGCATTGAGCCAGGCTCGCCACAAAATACATCTATAAATTTTTTTTTATTATTAACAACACCTTGCATTAATAAACTGTGGTATCCTTTACGATTAATGTAAGAGTCTTGATTTAGTCTAGGTTTATTTATTTCAATATGCGTTCCATCTATGCATCCTATAACTTTCTTTATACCTCCTATTTTTTCAAAGTTTGCGCTAATAGTTTCCATTTCTTCTAGGCTCGGCCATCGTATAACATCTGATTTTATTGACAATAGGAAATTAACTGTTCTAATGAGGCACCTATGAGCTGAACTGTATGTCACATCAAAACGACTAGAAACTTGTCTAAATGATTCTTGGTTGCTCAAATACCAGACACTAAGGAGAAAAGCTTTCTCCGCAGTAATTTTTTCCCTGCCAGCTGTATGTTGTGGTATAACGCTTGTTTCTTCGAACATATCTATGAAAGGAGACAATCACACAAATGTTCTAATTTTATATACCTTACTACTTACTAATAATTTTATACGCAGTACTCCTCGACATGCGAAAATCTGCTTTAAACTCAACTTCTGTATATTCACGTACTATATTCTCCACATAGTTCTTAACACGCAGGCAAATCTTTCGCTTCTTGCAGTTATCCTGTTCAACAAATGAAAAATCGGAACTGCTACTACTGCTTGTATCAAAATCCATCAGCTTTTGAGCTGCATTATCAAATAACGTCTGTGTTCAAATTTATTTTAATATGTTAAGTATATACCAGCATATAAGAGAAACCTACCTTTAAAACAAATTCTTTTTGGAAGTTGTTCATTTTGGACAAGTAGGTATATAACCTCAAAAGTGTTTCGCGCCCCTAGAAAATAGGTGGTGCATGAGGGGACAAGGGAAATCCAATTTCGGGCGCGTCCGAGCTCGAAGCAATTTTTAAAAGGAACACGAGGCTTCGTGCGCGGTACAGCTTAGAGCTCCTCTTTCAGGCAAAAGGAAAGCAGTAATTATGACAAGTTTGATGAAATATTTGAAAACGATATGTCAATAAATGCAATCTCCGCATTAAACATTATTTCATGTGCCACCCCCATACATAAGGGAGATATGGGAGGATGCTCAACAGGTACATCCTCCAATACACAAAAAAGAAACTTTTCAACGGCTTCGGTCCGTAGCGACATGGATACCACACCTGTTGAAGATAACGCTCAAATATGCTCTACACCTACAGGAAGTAGCAATCCCAGATGCAAAAAAAGGAGGCGTAATAATTCACCTTGGATTGACGAAATCGTAGCCTTACAGAAATCTTATGCTAATGACACATTAAAGAGTTAAAACAGAGTTTGCAGAAAAGCAATGACATTCAAGAAGAAAGGAATAAGTTGTTAGAAAGATTGTAACGAAGCACCCGGAATTTCTCCATTTAGTTTGCCGTTTACAAAGACCACGACCGCGATATTTTTGTAACCACCGAAGGATGTTGTCCTGGCGAAGATGAGGGGCAATTAATATTCTTTGATTTCAATGCCGTTAATTATTTATAAGGTGTTTTAGATTCCCATAATAAGTAAAATCAAGGATAGAACGAGTTCAAATCGAGTTGTTTACAAGTTTTGCAGTCCCGTCCGTATGCCTGCATGTTGCGATAAGAGTGTTAAAGCGATAGCGCCGTTTGGGAAGAAGAAGTCCAAGGGAGCTAGTTGCAGATTGGATTGATAAGTACTTAGGTTTGATTACGCTTGATTAGGTAAGCGCTGTTAATTAATGCCATGTTAATGGGCAGTTGTAGTAAACCTTGTCAAAAACCGTCGAGAGAGGTGTCCACAGAGGCGCTGTAATTTTTCTAGTTGTTTGCAAGTTGCCCCAGATTTTTAAGATAATCACAGGAGCTGCAATTAATTAAAAACCGAATTATTTTCTACATCGCTCGGTGCGAGCACTGCGGGCTTTGGAAATTCCATGTTCCACTTCTACCAAAATTGGTTTCCTTTAAGAGGAAAATGCTTAATTTGGGAAGGATCTTTTCTGCTTCATACTTTCGAGTTGTAAGTACGCCTTTTGATTTTTCTAATTTGCGAAACCGTATCATTCCGAATTCACCGAAACCCTTTTGTATTACCGTTTTCCCTTTTTAGCGACCGTAAGTCATGCCGTTGTCCTTTCCTTTTCACTACCGTTTTGAGTTTCCCTTGTTTGCACAACCGTAACCTTTTGCCACCGTTCCGCTAAACTTCATTATATTCTGTTCTCCTTGATTTTCCGCTTTTCTTTCTCCTAGACACCGCTTTGTGCTTTATTGCTTTATTCCCTTTAGGAAATTTACCGCCAGGGCCGTCGGCCTTATTTTGTTTTAGATAATCCGGAAGTGACCGCCGCCATTTTGTGGTGAACTCTGACTGATCCCTGGTATATTCCGTTCGCCACTAGAGGATACCCGGAGGCTTTCCACCCCGTCCGAGAAGACCGCCCCTTTCCCAAGACTTAGGGGGTGCAGCGAGGGGTGCAGATAAGTCTTGGTGGCGCCCAAGTGACCGACCGACCGTCTACGGTGTGATAAATTGAATTGTACAATTATATTATTAGTCATCCATTAAATGAACTTGAAATAATTGTGCTTTCATCATTTAAGCTACCGTTTGTGCACGAGCTAAGGGGGAAGTTCGTCGCAAGATTGTTGCGAAAGAATAATCAAGATCTAGAGTTTTCATTTATTGAATTTAGGCTGAATTTCACTGGGTTCACCTCTTATAATATATAAGCTTTCGTTTGATAACTATATGATCCATCTCGTGATCCATGTAGCTGATAAACAATACGAGTAGAAGACCGACACTCCCCCCCACCACTTTCTGTGACGTCACGGAGACCTTGGGTTTTTCCCAAGGTCGTGGCCTTGGGTTTTTCCCTGACCTTGGGTTTTCCCAAGGTCGTGGCCTTGGGGTTTTCCCAAGGTCGTGGCTTAGGGTTTTTCCCAAGGTCGTGGCTTTGGGTTTTTCCCAAGGTCGTGGCTTTGGGTTTTCCCCAAGGTCGTGGCCTTGGGTTTTCCCCAAGGTCGTGGCTTTGGGTTTTCCCAAGGTCGTGGTCTTGGGGGTTTTTCCCAAGATCATGGTTTTGAGGTTTTTCCAAGATCGTGACTTTGGTACAGGATCATGGTCTTGGATCCTGGGGCAGGGTTGTGATTATGGATTCTGGATCAAGGTCGTGGTCTTGGATGCTGAGTTGAGATTGTGTGATTTGGATTCTGGGATTTGAGTTGGACTAAAATTGTGCTCTGGGATTTTCCTAGCGAATTTAAAAGAGAGAGATGTAGAGAAAAATAAGAGATGTTGTATTACAAACCTAATCTAAGTACATACTCTTAGAAAATGGTAATCCATACATTTCAAATTTTACAAAGAAGAAGAAGAGGAAAAAGCAAAGCGAGAAGCAAGCAAAACAAGAAAATATTTGTGTACTTACTTTTTTCTTAGTTTTTGTTTGAAAATCCTTGTTTTTTCCAAGTTTATCCACACACACACACACACCCTCCCTAACACATAAGAAAGAGAGAGATGCACAGATTAGCACTGTATAATTACGTAAACTGCAGTAGATTATGCGAGGCTAATAAAACTTGTAACAATACGTTAGGTGATGTTAACGAGTCGGTAGTCAAATACTAACTGAAATTAGAGCGTACATTTCTTATTTGGGTATTTCCCGAGGCCATTGCAATGGGTTTCCTCAAGTGATGGCCTTGGACTATGAACTTGTCGTAGCATTGGGTTTTTCCCAAGGTCATGGTCTTGGACTTTGACCTCCCCAAGGTCATGGTCTTGGACTTTGACCTCGAGTTTTTCCAAGGTCGTGGTCTTGGACTTTGACATCGAGTTTTTCCAGGGTCGTGGTCACGTAGTCGACCGCTATGCTTTAAACCATATTTATGAACCTCACTCAAAAGGGATGCTTTTTTATAAAAAATCAACCGATCTTTAAACGATTTTAACTTGTCTTTATTAGTATCAACCCTTAAATGTAAACAAATTTATATTACAAAACGTAGCAGTATACAATAAACGGATGATGTCGTCGTTAGACTTTAAGTTATCATTAAACATGTTTACAAAATCGCTAGTGGCAACATTATTCATTTTAAAAACTAAGTACATCAAGCAATATTGGCCACAAAAAGTCGAAAGGGGATGTTGTAACATTTTATAGTTACATGTAAAACGTCTAGAGTTGGCTTTCAAAAATTTTAAATGAAGGCCACATGGAGACCTTCCGAAGGAATCAAAGAATTCGCCAATTCCATCTTTATCGATGTAGATAGCGTTCCAATGTTGACCAGGTCTGGTGGAAACATCTGTATTGACTATAAGTCCATATGGACGACGAATAAATTTTGGTAATTTATCAGCTGCAAAAACACCAGGCCTTACAGAATCCTGTATGTGATTCAGGGCTCGTTGAAGTTCTAGGGAATTCATCGGTGGAGCTAATTTGGGTCCATTCGTATAGCATTAAAGCGTTTTCTTGCGAGCACATTAAAGTTTCACTGTTATGATTCAAGCACCTAATGCCTCCAAATTCTTTCTTCAGCTTCTTTAAAGAAGGGCATCCGCAATCCTCTGCATTTATTATAGGTTTGTTTAGGAAATTTAGAATGTACTGCTTCTCTAGTCCTTTAACATAGATCTTGCTAAATGGCTGTAGCAGGGTACGTAGTTCCTCTTCAAAATTTTCATATCGAATGTGACCGGAGGTCCACTTTAAGCCATGATAATAATCCTCTAAATATCGAATCTCTTTTTTCATAGTTGCAGTAATACTATAATTTTGAGGGGGTTTTATTAACAGAGTTGTGCATTTCGGACCCTCCGAGGAAACAATCGAAATTTCTTTGGGTATAAACTCATTAAGAGCACCTCGGAAACCTTGCATATCGACGTATGCATCCATTGCAGAAAACATTTAAACTGGCTAAGGACTCGTATAAACTGATCTTTTATTTATTATTATTAGTGAAATCATACGTAGGATATCAGCTTAATTTATTTTTCTGCTTTTCGAACTTATTGATGTGCGTAAGACTATGCAATGTACGCAATTTTGAGATTTCTCTTTTAACTGTTGAAATCTGCGTTAACATTTCGGTGTTTATCGATTTCAATGACATTGTCGAACTCCGCATATACCAAGCAGTTTACTGTTTCAGTTAACGCATCTTGAAATCCAACTTCGATGCGCAATGAACCATTCCTAACTAAATTCCAATGTGTTGTGGCGTTAGCGGATAAATCAGGTGTCAGGTCAAAGGTAGTTAAACAGTAGCCGTGAGGGTAATCTAAACGCGATATGTTATTTCCTTCATTCAAAAAATGAATACCCGTCCCCGAAAATAAAGTATGATATGCCCGTACGTATAATCCTGCCCGTGTGAAATCAGGTTGCAACGGCTTTGAAGGAATTTGCTGTCCGTCGATGTACAGGGACATGTAATTAATCTTGTAGTTTTGGAAATTGAAAGGGTTAGACGCGTAATCGCCATTAAACGCTTTATTGGATACAAAACCGATTATGCAACGTTTTGGCAACTGTCCAAGGAAGACGTTATCTAAAGATTTACGCTGTATTCCGGTTGGTATTGTTAACACTTTTACATCGGTTCGAGTAATAGGATATTTTGCGGCGGACGTTTCTAATGCTTTAGTGTGAGCGAGAAGAATTGTAGGATTTATCTTCATTCTTCGTACCAGCAAATTGGCATCGACAATTTTTACTTTATAAGTTGCACCTGCACCAGCCATTAAGTTAAACGAATCTCTGGATCTCACAAATTTAACTTTCATTTCAACACCGTTTATGAGAAATTTTTCTTGGTTAAACAAATCGGCATGGACATGTCCAATCATCTCTATCATGTTACTCTCGGCTGCTGCGGCTTGACGTATAGTGAAACCTACGTTATCTGCTGTTAATGTGTCCATTTTTTTTGGTGTATCGTTGTGCCACAATGAACACCCCAGATGTGATGTTTTGGCTTCCAAACCATAATTTAGCAAAGTTTCAATATATGCACGATACGCATATGTGTTATTAGGTGGCGACACCAATTTCTGATTTAAACATATCTCCACCTGGCTATACAGCGTGTGTAACCAATTGTTGGCTGGACCTACAACATCTCCAACACCCAATATTGAATCATCTTGTTTTACAATTCTTGCCGTGATATAGAGCATAGTGTGACTTA